GGTAGTTCTTAAAAGGAAATTAACCTATTGGTCGCAGAAACTTTTTCACCTGATTCTCAGTTTTCAAAAGGGGCGCAAAATTTTCAAATAAGGGCGCCAAACTTGCTTCAACTCGTTGAGGGAGGGGCAACTGCCCCTAGTTGCCCCCCCTTAAATCCGCCACTGTGCACGGTCGCTGATTATGTGCACGTTCTTTTTTCAAGGGTCTTTGAGAAATGCTAAAGGGAATGAGAGTATTCCTAACAGGAACCGAACCTTCCCCTGTTGAAAATATCCTTAGGACAAAAGAGCTTTTGGTTTAGGGGTGTCAAACTTTAGCCGCCAACTGAAGCCAAGACAAATAGCTTCTCTGCTTCAAGAGAACATTCACGTGAGCCACAATAAAATACTGATTTAAACCTCTTTCGTTTTCTTTTATATCACTCCAGATTTGAAATATCATTGTAAATAGGACTTTAATTCCATTTTGTTAGTTTCCAGGGCAAGCTGTAAAGCAGTATTTAATACCGACGCTTCTACCCGGTATAAATAATTAAAAACGAAATAAAAGTAATTTCAAGTTACATCCAAACAAAACGGTATTGACCCAAGGGTGGTGCTGGTGAGGAAGGTGATGGTGAGAACCCCAAAACAGACTTGAACTGGCTTTTTACTCGAAAAATTTGGAATTATTTGCTCATTTTGCAAATTTAGTAGTGGTTGGCCTTCAATTAAAAAAATTAACTTGGAACTTGAAAACACCACTAAGATATTTTTCAAGCGCCGCCTTTGTATTGAACTACGAACAAACATATTTTAATGTTTCTTTAAAAGTTAACAATTTAATTCACGTGATTTGTTTCATTTAGGTATTGCAAATGCCCTGTACCTTGAGGGTGAAGACGACAGCCTAGAGGATCGTCCATCGAGAAGTGTCCAAGTGAAATTTATTAAAGGACCCCCTGGACCTCCAGGACCTCCAGGACCTCCAGGCCCAAGCGGACCAGTGGGACACACCGGCTATCCTGGCCCAAAGGGTAAGCGGTTTTACATTAAGTACAAAAATTTTCAGGGGATAACGATTCGGACAATAAACATCGGCGAAAATATTTTCGGACGAATTTTTGAAACTTCGGACAAATAAATTTTCGGACAATATTGACCGGTCTTTTGGATGTTCAAAGCAGAACCACATTAGGTTATTAGGTTATTAGGTTATCAATTCGCACAAAATTTCTGGTTTGTTATTGAACTTTCAAGAAACTTAGAAGAATCTCCGACTACTGAAAATGTGACAATGTTAAGCTTCAAAACATTTTCATTACGGAAGTGGCTCAAATTCTTAGTTTCTTTGTTTAGTGACTTTTTGATATGCGATGAAAACGAGGAATTTGAAAGACTGTTTTCAAAAATTTGCAAACACTCATGTTCAAAGATTGTAGCTTTTGATTCAGTCAATAAAAATGCGCATGCGTAAATCATACAAAAATATTCCGCGCGACAAACTTTTGGATAACTTTCAATTTCATACAAATAAATTTTCAAAACGCCGAAAATTTTTGTACTTAAGGTACTCATGGCCATAGCGGATGGTGGGTTGGGGGGGGGGTGTGCTAGTATTGATCTTGCCTGAATACTTTCGCTTCATTGAGATAAAACTACCCGAATGAAGCCAAAATGCTGAAAGGAGCATAGAGATAAAACCAGCCCCATATCCCCTATACATATGGTTTTATTTGGTCAAAAACTTGGCCAAGTCGATTAACTTTACCTCATTTACTTAAATGGTCAATCTGCATTTGCTGCGTTATTCTACTTCAACTTACTTTCCATTATTGTTATCCTTAGTTTCTTCCCTTTCAAGATACTAAATAAACATCCCTCAATATGCTTCTACATTTAGGACCAAAAGGACACCCAGGCAGACCAGGCAAACCAGGAAAAAAAGGACAACCGGGACACCCAGGACACCCAGGATATGACGGACTACCCGGTCACCCAGGGAAGCCGGGAAAACCAGGTAGACCAGGTAGGCCAGGTGATAAAGGGAAACCCGGAAGACCCGGAATACCCGGAAAACCAGGAAGACCCGGAAAACCCGGTAAGAAGGGACACCCTGGAAAAGATGGAGCACCTGGACCAAAGGGACCTAAGGGACCCCCTGGACCATACGGCAGACCTGGAAGGCCAGGAAGACCAGGCAAGCCAGGAAGACCAGGCAAGCCAGGAAGACCAGGCAAGCCAGGAAGACCAGGCAAGCCAGGAAGCCCAGGCAAGCCATAACAAAACCTGAACCTGAAGCTTCAATACTGAATTTTTTGGTAACAATTCAACCAATACTGAATATTTATTTGATATTTGAACTATTGATTAATGTGAAAAAGATTTTTGTTTGAAAAATACTCTTTCAATGAAACAACATCTTTCTGGAATTGTATTTTACCGGTATACAGTATATCGCTACAGACAATCTATCGCTTCTAACAACTCGTACAATGCCTGCCAAAAACACTTTGAACCCCGGCTGGAGCCAAGTTGTCACGGTTTTCATTTTTGTCCCAAACAATAATGTATCCGCCCCTCCAACCCTATAACAACATCATTAATTCAGGAAAATGTCACACAAGTAACAGGAAATTGGACACTACCTTGTCTAATACGTCGTTTTATAGTCAACCAAATTTTATTCAAGGGGAAAGGAAGTTAGCTGAGTTTGCCCTTGAAAACAGATGCCGGTGTTCGAAAACTTGTGGCAAGGATCGAAGTAAACTACTAGCAGAAAAAAGGACCGTGAAAAGATAGCACAATCTCTCCTTGTTTCTCCATCTACCACTTAGTGCTAAGAACTAAATTTTCTCAACGATGCTCGTCAATTCAGTTACACGAGTAGTGTGGATCATGAATTTATTGTTTTCAAATGTATTGAATTGTTTTTTCAAACAATGACTGAGTTGAATTACCAAAAAGGTATCTTTTGGTTGGGGAAACCGCTACGTGACCTTGACATCACACCCCGGGGGTACAGGCACTTGTACAGTTACCTTTTCCCGGTACAAAATAAATTTTGGTGTATCGATTTTGGTAAAATCAAACATTTTCATAAATTTTTGAAGTTACGCGAAAGCATTTGTTGCAAAAAACATAAACTTCTGTTCTAAAAACCTGTCGGCTTAGGCCCTTGGCTTCAGCGAGCCGCCAATTTTAGCACCGTTTCCATACTTTTGTGACCCCAGTGTACAAGCCTTATATGCGAAGACGCAAATTATTACGTCGGGTGATGCTAGTTGCAAGCGGTAAAAGTTATAGTGCTGTTATATTCGAGAGTTTTTTTAGCTTTTGAAAATGTTAACACGAGGCTCCCAGTTGTTTTTCGCAACAAGCCAACAAAATTCATCGGTACTAGCCAAAATACGCGAGGAAAAGGCCAAAGTCATTTTACAGCCTACTGCTTAACAAATTACAATAATACAAATACAATTCAAATTAAGATCTCGTTTGGTAAAATGCCTAAAATATCTTTGAAGTGAAATTTTGACTTCAGATTTGGATTTAGGACAATAAGAATCTGTTTACAATACAGAAAAAAGAACGGAACTCCTTGGTTCCGTGCCTGAAAAAGCGACGGTAGACCTTGCGTTTACACTAGCCAGGCATCTTGGTTCCGTGCTAGTTTGGGAACGGTTCCGTTCTTCTTTGGTTTCGCTAAAATCGGAAACTCTCTGGTTCCGTTTCCAAATCATGCTTGTTTTCGCAACGGTCAGGAACGGAACCTTTTTGTTACGATTGAAAACGGGGCTTAATCTACGGTTGGGAAGAGGCTTTCTTATAATGTCCGACGTCATTGCTGCGTCACTGCGCATGCGTCGCGTAAAAGTTACGTTATTTTTTACTACAGTGTAAACGCGAAGAAAAGAGTTATCGTGCCCAAACAAGAACGGAACCAAAGAGTTTTGTTCTTCTTTCTGTAGTGTAAACGGGGTCTAAGTTTACATCTTCGTGCTCGTGATAAAGTTAAAATTTCAGAAAGGTTTTGACAGTGATTAGCAACTGAGAAAGACAAGTTTCATCCAAAACGATTCTGAGAGTCAAATTCTACTTTCATCAATCGTTGTATCCTCACACAATTTAAATTTCAGGTACCATCGAAAATCATAAAATGAGCTCACAGTTGTAGAATGAAGTTTTGAACTGAATAAACTGCTTCTCTTCTCTAAAAATAACAAATACTCAAAAGAGCTATCATACTCAAAGGTCATTTCGAAAGGTTTAACATTCACCTGATAAAAACATCTAACTCTTAAAGACTTCAAGGGTTGATTTAGAAAACTTTAGAAAAAACTCACTCAAAAATAACTGTCCCCAAAACAAAACTTAAGGCATACTTCATTCAACATTTAAAGCACATTTTCCTGAAAACAGACTGAATGTGGGAACAGTTAGTCTTGTTGGCTTTTACGTAAGATACCTATCGAAGATGCCGAAGATGGTAGGCACGTTTGATATTATTTGGCATTTCTTACACCGTATCAAATTCAATAAGAGAGTCATCTTTATTTTGGTAGTTCACCATAATTTCCAATTTGCTCATTAATACGTACAGTATGTGGATATTAGGCAACAATCATTTATCTATTACTCTAAAATACAAAATAATTACAACTGAGAAAATCATGGCGGTAGGGTAATTAACTCTATTACCATATGGTTCTCACAAAATATAGTATCAATTACGAGGGTTGCTAACTATTTTAAATAAAACTTTGCATCATATTGGCAAATTATATTTGGAGCGCGTCAAAACGACGAAATTATCATACCGAAGCTACGATTTCTGTGGCAATTTCAAGCGTGGTAACGAGAGCCAGGATGTAAGAAACCCACTAAATTGTACCACTAATGAAAGCAGAATTGTATAAAAAGGACAGAAAGAATCAGCTCTGTACTTGGTGTCAGGTTCATTTTCAAGTGACAATTTGACGAAGATCAAGATGAAGACTCTGATTTTGTGCTGTTTGGTTTTTGGTGAGTACACAAGTTTTCTCAAATCAATATTCTGATTGAACAGGCAAGCAAGCAATGTTATGGAAAATATAAGAAAAGGGTTTATAATACATCATTGATCAGAAATGTAATGGCCCCCAACAGAAACGCATATTTGAAAATGCCCTTGCCACTATCAGGCACAATATTAGGTGTCGTGATGTTACAGTACTGAATAATCATAACAAATGGGATATCCATAAGCACATCTTCAAAAGTACTAAATTCCTCATCTTCCTCCTCCTTCAGTACAGGCTAGTATGCTTTATAGCAGAGCAAGATACTTCTGCAAGGAAAAAACCACTTCTATCCTAGGAATTTTTAGCATTTTTTTTATTAATTCTGTACATTGCTTTAAAAGAAACTTATTGTCTTACAATTTACACAACACTTGCCTCTCACCCGTTCGTGTGTACATACCTCAATGCCGACTCCAAACTTGGTTTGCAATCTCAGGGAAACACTTCCAACGAATTTTATTGGTATAGCAACACGGTGTCTGTAGGAAATCCCGAATCAGCTTCTTTCTCGGCAGTTATAGAGTATTTTCATTGCTTACTCGGAAAACAAGGTGGTTTGTATAAAAAAGGATTCAATCTTGGAACAGCAGCACGCCCCAATAAATTTTTCTAGAGAAACCCCCCGTATCGGACTAAGGTCAAGAAAAGTTCAATGTTTCTAACTGAATAAAGGTCAAGTTTGCAATTTAACTCACAAATGTACGATTTGTTTAATTTTAGGCATTGCAAATGCCCTTTACCTTGAAAGTGAAGACGACAGCCAAGAGGATGCAAGTTATGGCTATGGATACAAAGTGAAAGTCATAAAAGGACCCCCTGGACCTCCTGGACCTCCAGGCCCAAGCGGACCAGAAGGACCAGCCGGACCTCCTGGCCCAGAGGGTAAGCTGTTTCAATATAAATAGTATTTCTTTTTTAAGAATTGCATGAATAGCGATTGCCGGTTTCTTTTTTCATTCTTATTTTCACTTTTAAATATTCATATAAATTGGGGCAAGACGTGCTATTTTCCAATCTGTAGCAAATTTTCCAGAGAACAAAGACATATTAAAAAGATCGCATAATGATTCAGAGATTAGAGGCAAAGCAATCTTTATAGAAAAGCTTGCGATACCATCACAACCAGAGCCATGCGATGTCTTCATTTTCGTGATAACTTTAGTTCCATCTTTCTCTGAAACAGCTTTGAAAGGAAAATTTTCCATAGCGCTACCGAGTTCATATTCTTTGGACAAAAGATGTTTGGTTTTTCTGGAATTTTGTCACTCAGTCAGGGGCGGATCTAGAAAATATTCTGACTGTCGCACACAAGGGTGTGGTCGGAAATATCATTCGTGACCACACCCCCTTGGTTTTTAAGGATATTCGCCCCCTTCTCATTTGAGCAGTCGACACGCACATTAAATTGGCTTTATTTAGAACGTGGCCAAACTGTTGTTTATTCCTTATCTGAGTTTTCAATTGATACTACAGAATCATTTATGTTGTTTCTTAGCCAAGCGTAAAGCAAGAAACAACTTGAAATTCTTAAACGTATTGACACGGTTTTCCTTTCATAAGCAGGCAAAAATTCGAGTCGTCTTTTTCGATTTGTTTATGGTATACGATGACAAACCAGGCCACGCGAAAAAATGAAAAACATCATTGCAATGAATTTTCAGAACTAACCAAATAGAACAAATTTACACAAATAGTCATAAAACCTGCATTAATAACTAATATTATTTAATAGCTAAACCAAATCAGCGTGTAAACATGTATTTTACTTCCAAGAAACCGCTTCGAATTCAGGGGAATACCCAAGCAAGTAAACATTACCCGGAAATATCTGAAAGCTGATAAAGAACTGAAAATCCACATTGAAAAGATTCACTTTGAAAGTTTTGTCTAAGTGAAGATTTTTCTCTGCCAACGTCCTGAACATTATTTCTTCGCCAGAGCCAAATCGCAGGTATCGCCCACTGATTATCACCCCAGTCCAGAGCATTTATTGACATTAGTAGGCCCTCGATTCATGGAGGAGGTAATGAACATCGAAACTTGAAAACATCCCGTGTCGAATGTTACTCTGAAAATCTAGCGACCTTTGTCTTCCAAACTACCAGGTTTAACGTATTCGTTTTACATGTAGCCAGCCGACTCCATAACACAAAATTCCTTTTCTCCAGTGAAAAGCTTGCCCATGCCAGGCATAAATAAGCTCAAAACTGCACAATACACGCAATGAGAACGGATTAATCTTTGCCCAGTGGTGCGACCTTACTAAAAAACATACTGTGTACCGAAGTTCGCACTATCTAGCAATTTGATTGGCTAAATATTTTAAAACAAAAGCTGTGCGAATCGGTGCGAACGTGCTACTAATCATACTGTGCACCGAAATACCCTAATCTAACTACATTGGTACCCTGTTGTTTTTTAGTCAGGATGCTTTGAGATTTGAATCAGATTGAATCAAGATCGAGATAGAATTAGAGATTGTGTTTAAGATTTTGCTTCTGTTTATGGCCAGGTTTAAATCATGCATGATTCAGACCTTGGATCTTCCTGCTTCTGCACGGTGTTCAGTTGTCAAATATAACTGAAGCATAATTCCCGAGTAAATAGAATCAAAATACAAATGAGAAATTTGCCAATAAGCGAGAAAGTTTTTGTTCAGCAAAAACCTCTCTCGAGACGGATTCTTAGTATAATTTTAAAAGTTTGACTGTCGCATGTGCGAACGGTGCGAACGTCTAGATCCGCCCCTGCACTCAGTATATTTCCAATTGTACAGAAAAACTCTGATTGATGAAGCAATCATTTTATTGTCTTTAGTCGACTCACCTTAAACATTAAGGGATGGGATAAAAGTGGTCTTGCTGCTTTTGTTTATGACTTGGTTAATAATCTTCCAGGATGTTTTAAGGTCCCCATGACGTGCATAAATTTTCTTAGAGAAATATTCTCTGAATTAGCTGGAGATTTAACTTGTTTACGCGATTGCGAATTCGCTTATAACAATCCATTATAAAAATTCTTATCGGCTCTGTATCCATTTCCTCGTATTTCGCTTGTCTGTAAAATGGTAACCGTGTATATCGCGTTCATCTTTCTGTGTAATTTGGTTTTTGATAAAATCAACTAAGAGTTCGATACTGTTCTCAGTGAATATAAAATGGCGAGTATATCGAATGTTTCTCACACCTCGTTTGGTTCCGGTTGATGAACTGGTTGTTTGTATATAAAAAATCTGTCAAGCAGTTATGGACACAGTTATGTTTTCTTTATTTAGGACCAAAAGGACGACCAGGACGACCAGGCAGACCAGGGAAAACAGGACGACCCGGACGACCAGGATTGGACGGATTACCCGGTCGCCCAGGGAAGCGTGGAAGACCAGGACGCCCAGGCAGACAAGGTTTTCCAGGAAGACCAGGAAGACCTGGGAAGAAGGGAGAGCCCGGACTAGATGGAGCACCCGGACCAAGCGGACCAAGGGGACCCCCTGGACCACGTGGCATGCCCGGAAGACCAGGCAAGAAGTACGGGTATTCAAAGAAACCATGGCATTAATGAGATGTCAAAAATGAACGTTAATAAACTTTGTTAGACTCTACAAACCAAGTGTGTAGTTTATATGGGAATAACCTTAACAATTTAGAGCGGTTGCTTTCAATAGAGCAATCAGTATTAAGCAAACTTTTCGCATTGAAATATGTCTTTTCTTTGTTTATTAAAGATTTCGAACTGGTTCTGCGTTAAATCATCGCATAAAATGACATTGATAAGTGAACGTTTTTTAAACCAAAAGCCCCATAGATTTTCGAAATTCAAAATGGACCGGGTCCACCTGCATAAGGTCGCACGAAATAGGGTAGAACAAAAAAGGGCGCCTTGCAGTAAACTAGTTTTTCAATTTTTATGCTTTTAAATATCTATAAAAAGGAAAAATTATCAGGTGGGGACTGTAGATATCTATAAAATGTTTGATTGAAAAACTTTGCAAAAAAAAAACTAATATTCAAGCAAAGGCATGAGGAAGATGATAAAATGAGTTCAAAGTTGTAGACTGAAGTTTTGAGTTCTGTCCAAAACGATTCCATTAGTTGTACTGCAATCAAAAGGATCAAATCAAACGGACTGACTTCGGATTGTGCCATTTATTTGAATTATTCTAACCAACAAAGTCTATTTTATAGGCCAAGGTACAGCAGTAGTAATATTCAACCAAGCAAACAATTAACGGCGATTGAGAGCCGAATATTGTGACAAAGGGGTTTCATCAAATCGATTCGTCTTTGTTCCTTTTTTCTCGGAAAGAGGCAACTAATGAGCATTACAACTTTTAGAATAATTTGAAATTCGCAATAAAAACAGTTTTATCTAAATTCGCCCAACAGAAATCTTATAAATCAATAATAATAAACATAATTTTCTCGGCTGGAGAGTACATCCAAGAGGATTTGCAAGAAAAATTGTAGAAATGACCGACGAAAATCCTGTATCTGAAACAAGGCACAATGATCTGTTATGCGATTAATGCCCTCTAAGCCTTTTACATAGTGAATTGCTTGTACATTTGTGCAGTTAAAAAGGTAGAAAAAGTAGGAAGTGTCTCCCTAAAATGCGAAGCCAAGAAGATTAGTAGTATTTTGATTTCATTTAAAGTTAGAAAGACTGATTTGTGGCGGTGAGCGGTTTTCTGTACCCAAAAGATGTTTTCATCGAGGAAGGAAAAATAAAGGGACAGCGAGGAAAGTTACACATACAAAATGATGTAACCCCAGTTTTACAACCACAGAAGGATACCCTATCACAAAAGCTGTTTTAAAGGAGCTGGGAAACTAATAGAACCAGACAGCCGTTTTATAACAACATTTTCAACACACGAAGGCCTTTTTAAATACAAAATATTGTCCTATGGTACATCTAGCAGTGCTGAATTATTTCAAAACATTCTGCAACGTAACCTTAGTGACATGAAAAATTTGAAAAATATTGCTGAAGATATAATCATTTTCGGAAAGAATCGCAAAGAACATGACATAGCACTTGTAAATTGCTTGCAAAAACTATCAGATCTAACATAAAAGCAAAAGCACCAAAATACAGTTTTCTACAAGCAGAAGTGAACTTCTATGGTCTGATATTCACTGAAAAAGGTACAAGATCCGATCCTAAAATGCGTGGGCGATCTGGTGCATGTAAGTGTTCCGTTGTTAAGAAGTGTCCCTTGCATAGAGGTTTCTTTAACAGCGCTTTGAGCAGATGGGACAAAAATATCAGTCCCTTTAATGAGATGTGTCAGTTGAATAGAGGGGTCGGTAAATGGTGTTTCAACTGTACAACTTTTCAGAATGATCAAATTAAATTTCTTCACATTTGATTTCGTAAAACATGTGGTAGAATTTGATTCTACTATGGGTTTTAATTCTAGCAGAACTCTATCATTTACGTTAAGCCTTTATGCGCTGTTTGATACCTTTGTCCATAATAGAGAAGTGGGTGTTCTGCAGTTTCGATTTTTGCACGAAAGCTTTGTCCCGTGACTCAGATGAGTGTCAAGTCATCAAAATGATGACCGATGAGTGATGGGTAATATTTGTGATTCAGGGTAGGGAGCGACTTGTGCTGATGCACCCAAGACCAAAAGAGTATCGAAGTGTGACCTCATCAAAAATTTATTTTTAGAAATTCTCATTTTTGACAAAAATATGTGAAAAAACAGGATAAAATTATTTTCAATATACAAAATAAGTTATATAATTGGGTGTAATGAAAGATTTCAGGTTTGCTAATTATTTTGTTATTCTGAGATGGTTTGAAAGTTATGAACCAAGACAAGATTACAGAAATTTGATGGGGAAAGAGCCTATGCTAATATGGCCATATCTCAGCCAATAAGTAACATATTCAACTGATTTTGCACAATAGAAGTATTAATAATGCTTTGAAGTATTTCATAATGCTTTTTTGAGTTATTTGGTCAAAACTGAAAAATCTTAAATATATCTTTGTGACATCATCACTTCGGCACTCTAGCATCGCTTCCCATGCCAGGGAATCTATCTTCAAGGCCAGATTTCACAAGGCATGTGGAAATTTCTTCTGATGGAGCTCTTTTATTTAAATTTCAAGACCTCCTTTGTCAACGTGTCCCTGAGTAAGAAATTGAGATTTGACAATGGCCATACGACTTGCTGTGGTCATATCACAATTCTGTGGTTATATTGGGGGCAAAAGATTGCTGCATGGGCATCCTCTTTTCTAAAGGGAAATAAGAGAACCAAATAAGGGTCATAGTTGTCTGCGACAACAGAGGCTTAAAGATTCTGTCAAAGTAAACTTAGTCATCTACTCCATGGGTGATTCGTTTTAAGAAAGAACCACTGGCTAGTATTATTCTTTTCTTCTATTACATTTCTTTTATTTTTTTATTATCTTAAACACACTTAAAAACACTTAAAAACACTTTTGAATCACCCCATCCCCCTCCCTTGGTGCCGCCCATGTTGTTCGTAGGTAATTCGTCTCAAGATAAAACCACTGGAGGGTACAGGAAAATCCAACTGTTCTCTATCAAAGTAGAAAAGTCGAAAATCATATCTAAGACGATGACGACGAAGTTACCGATTTTATAGATTCCTTTGTATTCACAAAGCTGTCGAAAGACTTTCCAGCACTATCAGCAGAATTCTAAAAGAAATAATTTCAGAAACAGCTTCCCTTCTCTAAATCCAACAAATACTCGGACCAATCGAAAAATTTTAACATTTCATCCACTGGAAAACACCTTACTGAATGAAGGACTGAAAGATTTAACGAGCTGATTTGAAAAAAATTATTGAAAAATAATCCCTCCATAATAATTGTCCCCAACACTTAAGGCACTATTTTTAATGCACATTTTTCTGAAAACAGGTTAAATGTAGAAAAAGATAGCATTTATGGGCTTTTACGTAAGATAACAATCGAAGATGAGATGATATACACGTTTGATATCAATGTGCAGTTCTTAACATTGCATCATTATCAATAAGAGATTCATCTTTATCTTGGTAGTTCACCACGAAATCCAATTTGCTCATTAATACGTACAGTACAAGGATATTAGGCAACAATCATCTATCTATTACTCTAGAATTGAAAATAATTACAACTGAGAAAATCATGGCGGTAGGGTAATTAAATCTATTATCATATGGTTCTCACAAAAATTAGTAGCAATTACGAGGTTTGCTAACTATTTGACATAAAACTTTGCATCTTACTGGCAAATAACACTTAGATCTCGTCACAACGACGAAATTATCATACCAAAGCTACGATTTCTGTGGTAATTTCAAGCGTGGTAACGAGAGTCAGGATGTAAGAAACCCACTAAATTGTACCACTAATGAAAGCAGAATTGTATAAAAAGGACAGAAAGAATCAGCTCTGCACTTGGTGTCAGGTTCATTTTCAAGTGACAATTTGACGAAGATCAAGATGAAGACTCTGATTTTGTGCTGTTTGATTTTTGGTGAGTACACAAGTTTTCTCAAATTGAACACGCAACGTTGTTCTTATATAAATGCGCATATGAAAGTTTATGAATGGCCGGTGTGCACACTGAAGCTAGCAATGTGATCGAAATAAGAAGCAAAGAGTTTATAATACATCATTGAACAGCTGAAAGTTCATCAGGAATGTAAGATCATCAGTAATGTAATGGCCCCCAACAGAAACGCATATTTGAAAATTCTCTTGCCACTATCGAACACAATATTAGGTGTCGTGATGTAACAGTACTGGATAATCATACCAAATGGGGTATCCGTAAGTGCATGTCTTCGAAAGTACTAAATTCCTTATCTCCATCATCCCTCAGTACGGGCTAGTATGCTTTATAGCTGAACAAGATAGCTTAGCAAGAAAAAGCCACTTCTCTCCTAAGAATTGTTAGCATTTTCTTATTAATTCTGTACATTGCTATAAAAGAAACGTCTTAGAGCATTTGCATGTATGATCTCGGATAAACATTGTCTTTAAATTCTCACATCACTTGCTTCTCGCCCGTTCGTGTGTACATATTTTAATGCCAACTCCAAACTTGGTTTGCAATTTCAGGAAAACACTTTAAAAAAGATGGTTGGCTAAATTAAAGAAACACACCTTCGAACTACAACACGCCCCAAAAAACTTTTCTAGAGCCACTCCCGTATCCGACTAAGAACAAGCATAGTTCAATGTTTCTAACTGAATAAAGGCCAAGTTTGCAATTTAATTCACAAATGTACGATTTGTTTAATTTTAGGCATTGCAAATGCCCTGTACCTTGAAAGTGAAGACGACCGCCAAGAGGATGCAAGTTATGGCTATGGATACAAAGTGAAAGTCATAAAAGGACCCCCTGGACCTCCTGGACCTCCAGGCCCAAGCGGACCAGAAGGACCAGCCGGCCCTCCTGGCCCAGAGGGTAAGCGCTTTTACTTGTTCAAAAAGATGGCTTAATGGATCCACTTCACCATAATTTGGTTCTCAATCTGTGAAAGATTATCAACATATTATGCGTTATTCTCCCTTAACTTTTTTCTTTTCTTGAAACTCTCAGTACAATACCTTTTCAAAATCGTGGTAATTTCTAAAACGTCCGTCTTATCAAATGTCCGTATTATCACTATCTTTCTGCACTCAGGACCAAAAGGACGACCAGGACGACCAGGCAGACCAGGAAAAATAGGACGACCAGGAAGACCAGGAGTAGACGGATTACCCGGTCGCCCAGGGAAGCGTGGAAGACCAGGACGCCCAGGCAGACGAGGTTTTCCAGGAAGACCAGGAAGACCCGGTAAGAAGGGAGAGCCCGGATTAGACGGAGCACCCGGACCAAGAGGACCAGGGGGACCCCGTGGACCACGTGGCAGGCCCGGAAGGCCAGGCAAGAAGTACGGGTACTCAAAGAAACCATGGCATTAATTAGATGTCAAAAATGAACGTTAATAAACTTTGTTAGACTCTACACACCAAGGGTGTAGTTTATATAGGAATAACCTTAACGATTTAGAGCGGTTGCTTTCAATAGAGCAATCAGTATTAAGCAAATTTTTCGCATTGAAATATGTCTTTTCTTTGCGTGTTGAGATCTGTGAACTGGTTCTGTATTGAACTGGATAAAATCGCATTGACAAGTCGAGGTATTTTTTGAAACAACTCAAAATCCCTACAGACAGAATCCAAAAAGCACAGGGTCCATCTGCAAAAGGTTATAAACGACATCTAGAGTATAATTTTTTATTTTTCATTGAATAACTCAAAAAGAAGTGGGGCCTGTAGGTTTCTATATTGATTTAGAATTTTACAAAAAATCCATAATTCAAGCACTAATAATGAGACATACAGCTGTTTAAAGAGCTGAGAAAAAATTTCGTTTCAATTTATGAATGGTGCGAGCATTCTAAGCTTAAATATGATTCAGGTCTCATATAATTCTATTTCTTGGACATATTGCTTAGGACATTGCCTCTTAGATGAAATTTTGAAGAAATTTATACATGACTTGGATTATGTTACGTGTGATTTTGATTTTAAATAAAATCAATGATTTATTATTAAATGGCACGAGCGATTGCAATTCCATTCCATTCCCGCTGTCAAACATGGCGACCCCAAAAGAAAATAAGGTAGCAACAGCTTTAAAAATGAAGCAAGGGCATGGATTCACTTCAGATAACTACAAACAGACACGGAGTAGCTTTGAAATATTTCAAAACCCGAATATTGTGGTTTTCAGCCAATATTTGCCTCGGTATTTTAACCCTGTTCGACTGAATGCCTTTCAGGGAAGGATGTGCTCTCGGGGAGGGGTCTATAAAACGCAAGTTCAGATTTTCATATGCTCAACCCCAGGCATCATTTGCCCCTTGGATTAGAAAACCAAAAATTCCCTGGCTCTTCCCTAGCCAACTGGATGAGAACGGCTTGTGCGCGATTCTGAATTTGCAAAAATGAGTGGAATGAGCGTGGAACTTCACTTGCTGTTTCTTGTGCTATCGAACTCTCCGCCTTCTTTATGTTGCGTCGTTTGCTCTCATTTCAGACACTTAAAACGGGTATAGGGTTACTTATTATTTCTTATCAAACAATCGAAATTTCCTCTCTGCGCGGTTTTCCCATGAACGGTCATGGGTTCGATTTGTGTGGATACTTGTCTTGAGAATTAGAAACATTTCAACACGACAATAGCGGAGCATATACCTACAAACACAGGGTAGACCTTAAAATAGTATTTCGCGCTTTCAAGCACCAACAAAAACACGCGTTGAGTTAGTTTATGACTTGCCTAGCACTGAAATGAAAGGCTTGCGTTCTCTTAAGTCAGCGTTGCCTGGACTTTAAGGTAGCCTGTTGTTGTTGTTATTGCTGCTGCTGCTGTTGTTGTGTTGTTGTTGTTGTTATTATTGTTGTTGCTGTTTCTATCCTCTGATTTAAGCGCGTACTATCATGTACTCAAAAACGTAAGTAGTGCATTATATCTCAAGCACAGAATAACATCTACGTAGCACAAACAGAGCTTGTAACTTTTGCTGACAATCAAATAATACATCACTAACGAAAAGGCATTCACTAAAAAGCTTGCTAAGACCGCACCACGAGATTCAGCATTTTTAGCGCTTGACACAGGCTGTTGGGTATAAATAACATGAATACAACGCTCTTAAGGTAACATGTTAGGTTAGCTAGCATGAAAGCCCATTTTAATAGTCTCTGAGTCACTTTGCAAATTTTTGCCGGTAATGGTCATTATCCCAAGCTGGAGAATTGTCTGTTATTAAAACAATGTATCATATCGTTAAAGAGAAGATACTGATTCCATTATACATGAATAAATAGGCTTTTGCAACTTGCGCCCGCGAATCCCTACACCCACCAGCGAATGTTTGGAATATTCTTGATTCCATTTACTTCAAATTGTTTTTTTGTGACATAAAAAAATCTTTTACCTGCCACTTCCCTGTGTTTTAGACTGAAGTCATCGTACTCCTTGCGCATGACAGAACTCTCACAGTTTCAATCCTCATTGCCAGGCTCCTCTTTGTAATGCCTATACTCTTGCTTCAGTTCCCAGGTATTTTTATGTGGATTTTTCAAATTATAATTACATATTTCCTTCAGAATACTCTTAAGGTAGCCCTGAAAAGAGATAAAATCATATGTCATCCAAATTTCTAGCTTTATAAGAAATAAATAGCACGTTCATAAATATCACAAAATATATCCAGGTCTCTACACGCTTTGAATAAGCTGGTGATAAAAACTATTTCCTCTCTCCCTTTCCTCGAAATAGGTTCCTAACATTTTTCGGTCATCTTATATCTACTAATTGTAAAATACATAAAATATAAATAACACGATTTTCTTATAGACTTTTCCCCGCAAATTGCGAACTTTTCTTATTAATTTCTCAAGGCCCAGAAACAAGACCAGAATATGGTCGAAGACAGAAGAGATCAAAGGGCCATGTCTATTGCTCTTAAATTTTTTGTAGTGGGCTTTCAAGCCTGGAAGGAATTGTCCCAAATAAGTATGAATACTTTCCTGGCCCCTAGTTTTAAACTCAGAGATCTTTCTTTGACGAAAAAGATGCTAAGTAATAATGTAACTCCTATGCCGGTTTATATAACTATCAACATTAATCACTCAACGTGAAAGTTTAGTCAAAGCGACCATTCGCAAATATTCAATAGAAAGGTGCACATTGTTAGTCTTTGGTATCCTTAAGCATTTTCAACGTTCCTTGGCAGCGTTATCCATTTCCAGGGATTCACTTACGTAATAAACGTTTGCGATCACGTGCAAAGCAGCCAGTATATTGAATAGTAAAGAAGGTATGTGATTGGCTGATCCAATATTTACAAACACATCGACTTTGAACATAGTTAGCGGCAAAAGCCTAGCCATCGAGTACTCACAAAAGCAGGCTCGATAAAATATAAAATGTCATAAACAGAAATAAAAGAAATATAAAAACTACTTCTTACAACAGGCTGTTGTGTGAGATGTACCAAATCCTTTAAAGTGTAATACTGATGTCTTTCAAATGCAGAAAACAATTTGTCCATGACTTCCTTTTTCTCTGAGCGAGCTCTTTTTCCTTCTTCTTTTCGTTTTCTATCTCTTTCAATCTACAAAATTGCATACAAATATTTATGCTCATATCTACCAATGCTAAGGAAACCAAAAAACCATTTATGCCAATTTAGCCCTGACAGGCAGCTAGCTATTGAAGTACTTTTGTTTTCAAAAAAATAAGAGAAAGGTCAGGCATGGAAGAAGTATTATGTAGGAAATGTTACATGGAGTAGTTGAAACATAGAATTCTAAATATGATGGACATTAGTTTGATGCATCATCATCATCATCAGTCATTCAACAATTTGGCTGGTTGCTTGTGCTTTGTTTAAGGACCGCATCCCAGAGGCATCTGTCTTCGGCTTGATGGACGCACTCCACCAAAGGAGCGCCCACCAAGTTTTTGATGTTATCTGTCCACCTAAATTTCGGCCTTCCTCTATTCCTTTTCCCTTCTACGTAGCCAAGCATAACCGATTTTTCCAATGATGGAGAGTCGCACCGAACTATGTGCCCAAAGTATCCTAACTGACCCTTCTGTATCTGTGCTAGTAGGGTATCTGATGCACACTACTTATCAAAACAATTCATGGGTTGGGTGCATTTTCGCGAAATTATCTCATGGTCAGGTCAAATTATTAATCATTTGAAGCCTAGTGGAAACATGAGTGAGAGATTTTTAAGTTGGCTTACATTCACTTTGTGATCTGCAATTGGCTTGAAACTCGTTCCATGAACTTTTTCTGTTATCTGTTGCACCTTTCTAGCAGGCTGTCCAGCTTTTTTGATGGCATTTCTACAAAAAACAATATTGGCATGCAAATAAGCTAGAAACAAGACAGAATTCAAACATTCAAGAAAAATGCCAATGATAAAATCCTTTTCTCTCAGAAAACGCTCGGAACCGTCTCTCAGTTGATATCACCCAGTCATCTCTCTTAAACACTATAAGCGACTCTTATGATTTTAACTCTGTTTTTCAAATACTCTAATTTGTTTGAATGTATAAAAATACAATTTAACTGAAGCTAGAAGAGACAGAGGAATGAGTGCTGGAGGTGCTAGTTGTCTTAGAAATATAGAAGATTTGCCATTCCATCTTTACAGTTTTTTTACCAAAACTAACGTTTACATAAGCTAATGTTTTATTAAAAAATCAAAACTTTTTCCTATTGGAGACAGTTCATCTTCAGCTACAATTTCGAAAGTTCGATTTTACTAGCCAACTTTGTCTATGACATTCTTCAAACAACTTAGGACAAAGCAAACATGCATCTATAGATGCAAAAAATCTTAGATGGAACACAAAGAATAACCTGTTGTAAGAGAACATTTGTTAAAACGTAATCTTCCAATATTGGATTTCGAAGGCATGCTTGTCCAAGTTTATCTTTAATTAACTCCAATGGGCTTTACCTGTAGATTGGGCAGTAATCTCACCGGTAGGTTGGGTCTAAAGACTTGAGATTTACTAAAAGAAGTTTTGGTGCCACAAAATTTGAAGATGGCACGAAAAAGCTGAAAAAAGTTCAAAGGGAAGTTCAGTGAGAAAGTATCTGTTTTTATATCTGGTTTGATAGAGGGTCTGCTAAGTTTTCAGCAATTGTTATTTATAAAATATGTGACTTACGAAAAAATGTACTCTATGGTACGAATTGTATCTTCACAAAAGTTTGATAATTGGTTTATAGGACTTAATTTTTGTAAATTTTGGATAAACTCTAACGAATAAGGCCTTTTGAAAATACTGCATACCAAAGAAGGACCTAAATCCTGCATACTTACTTTTTTAATAAAAGGTAATTTGGATTTTCAACAGGTCGACAGTCAGCTCTTTTCACAACCTTTCCCTCAAATGCAAACATTGGGTCTCCTGCAAGGTAAAAAGCACATCAAATTCACTATGAATATCTTAGATTGTTCCAGTTGAAACTTTGATACGGGGAACGTGATTAGTCGCCCATACAGCTTAAAGTAATAAAAGTACCCTAAAAACTTTACTTCGGCGTAAATGAAAGAAAGAACGTAAGTGAACTTGTGAAACGTAAGCTTGCATTTTGTGAAAAATCTTACCCTTGCCAAGATGAAGACCACTGCTCAAAGATATTTTTCTCTTCAATTATTCCTCAATTCACCGTCGAAGCGCCAACAAAATTCACATATCGAAATTTTAGAAAAAATTTCAGCAAGCTGTTCAGTTGTTTGGCACCCCCCATACACAATAAAAGAAAACAAGGCTAAACATTTCTCAACATTTTTCAATAGAACTTTTACTGAAAGGTTAAGTCGTTTGTCCTAGGCTTTGGTACAAAAACATTGTGAATCCTACCTTGTAAATTTTGATCTGTTGAATCTACAACAGAAATAAAGTGAGGTAAATAAAATTTAAAATGCTCTTAGCATTACGACAGTGCCATAAAAGACGTTTGGTAGGGTTGATACAATTGTGATGTTGATGTTGAAGATTGCAAAACAATGTAGAAAATCACGATAATCACAAATGATACTGTTAAATTGGATTAATTGAATAAAGTCGATAATTGGCTAAAAAAGAGTTGTTCATTAAAATCAAATCTTTTATGGTACAGCGATTAACGATGATTAACGACGATTGATTATGATTAACGACGATTGACGATGATTAACAACGATTAACGATGATTGACAACGATTGACTATGATCGATTATGTTTGATGATAGCTGTAATGATGATGATTATGATGACGAGGCATAATATGGATATTTCCTTTGTTAACGATGCTTACCACCAGCTGTCTCTGAAAACACGGCTAAGGACTGGGAAACATCTGACATTAACATTTTGTGCTCACGTGGCAGGGGAACCCCATCAACACAGCCGACTTGCGACAACTGCTCCGAGAGCTCAAACTTCACCTAAAAATTAAGCAAGGAAAAGCATGAAAACAAAATGCTTCAGCTTGCATTGAAAGGCAGGCTGTAAAAAAGTAGAAAACTAGAGATGTCGCTTTAAGGCCCTATTTACATTATGAAGCATTCATTTCGTATCGAAATATGTTCATACCATACCCGGAAGGCGTTCTGTTCACATGGGAACGATGGAGTCAGAAACGCTCCCCATCATATTGGCAAACACAAACATAAATCACTCCGCCTGGTCACATGCCGCGGGCAAACAAACTTTTTCAGGATGAGTCTTTTTCAAGATATTAACAACCCCGTTTATGAACGATCTATGTATAAAAAAATCCAATGTATGTGTGAAATCATTTCTGTGAAAAAGTTCATTTTTCGTATACATTTTGTAGCTCAGTTATCTTTTAAATGAAATCGATGGCAGAAAAATGAACTTGTCAAGTCTTGCTGATCGAAACATTTGGAGCTGGGGATGTTTTGTACTTTACTGTTCTTTTTTACCAAAGGTCCAAATCAAATATGTACCAGCCATTGTTAGTCTCTCTAGTTTTCGCTATGATCCATTTTGTAGTTGGCCTAAATTCAATCAGAATTGCATTATATGTTTCTATTGTTTTGGAGCTGTCACTACGTAAGCACACTTAGTCATAGAGGTTGTTTGCAGTTAATTTGCATCAAAGCTTCAAAAATTTGGGAAAACTTGCCCATTAAAAATAAATAAACACATATAGCAGAACAAACAAAGACAAAAAACATTATTTACTTTGAAAATGAAACTTCATTCAGCTATATTTTAACATTCATACTAATTGACCCGATTACCTATCATTTCTTAATTTTATATGAACCACGACATCTATCATGATTGTTTTTTGCTTTTTAGATCTTGATTATAATAATCTCTTATATCGTTGATTCATATCTCATTGTACTTCTTTTCTTGTACTTATAACAATTAGTTTGTTATGGAAACTATTAATGTGAATAATTGGGCTGTGAATGAAATCCTTCGACTTGAATTCAAATTTAACCGCAAGTAACCAACTTTGGCACGCTTCGTAATCAAAAACATTCGACATTTTAACAGAGATTCACCGATTATTGAAAGTCTTTCACATTTGCATAACTTCAGTGGTTGATTACATTATAACAAAAGATCTGTTTTAATGCAACAAGCCTTTCAAAGACAGGACTCACTGGTATCCAGTAGCGGTTTACCACATTAAAGGGCAGGTACTTTTGCTTAAGTGAGAATTGTGACTGGAATAACAAACACTTGGATAGCTTACAAACATTTTCATATATTTGGAAGCTCAAATACTTAAATACGCTTTGAAGGACCGAAATACCTTTGAGAGACTGTCTAAATGTACATCAAAGTTACAGAAGATGAAGGCTACCAGGGAATGGGAAAAGACAGTGGGCAGTTATCGATTAATTCGACTGAGTTACGCTTTCTTCGAAAAATACTTCGTTTCTTGGGATTCTGGCATAATCCGCAGGCCACTTTTGTGGAAAAAATCCTCTACCCGTCAGCTGTTAATATGCTTTTTTTTGTTATGATCATCATTAATATCTATTACACAACCTTAGACCTCACCATGAAGAATGATCGTTTCAAAAATCTAATATTAGAGACATTCATTGGCCTGTTTCGTTATATATGGTGCTGGCTCGGCCACCTTTTTATCATTAAATACTTCAAAAAACGTCATATGGAAGAAATGCTTGATGGTATCAAATTAGGGTCAGGCAATCGACAAAGTCTTGGGAAAGTCAAAAGAAGGCTGACTCTGATTTTAATATCATCTATCATGATTGCTGTGACTACTGTGGTTCTGTCAATGGTAGCAGGCTTCCACTTACATTATCCTTCAAAATGGAAAATAGATCACCATAAACGGCTCGCAGCAAATGGAACTGTTCATGGAATCCAAATGAGCGGCTTTGTGAAAACAAACATAGTTTTGATAAGCATAAGTGACTTCTATCTGGTGCTCACTGCACTTTGCTTGACATGGCTGATGTACCTGCTTTATCACACTAGTGACATTCGCCTGCTGGCCTTAAAGCATGATTATGCACGTTGGAACCAACATGCAGAGGATGCAATTTTCCGGCATTACGTTTACTATGATTTGAAAGTTAAGTCATCATGTCAAAATTTACGAGTTTTATTTATAAGCCACAATATACTGATGGTGATTATAACGCCACAGCTGTTCTTTCTTTGTGTGGAGATTGGTAAAAATCAATGTGCACTTGACGTAGTCGTGTATGTATTGTTCTTGTTATTTATGTTCATTTGTTGGCTCACACCATTGTATTATGCTGAATGCATGAAAATGAACGAAGAATCATTCTGCAACGAGATCAATAAGTACTGCCCTGGGTATCTTGCAATGTACTTTGAGGCAGAAAACCAACAAAGCCCAGAAATGCTGACATTACGTGCAAGAAGAGAAGTAAACAAACTTGTTTCCTATCTTAAAGCGAGGAACTCAGGCTTCCTAATTGGTGGATACAGCTATCACACACAGTTATCAATGCTGTCATTCTACCTTGGGTTGTTGACATTTATTGTAAAAATTATGGCTTGAGGCAACAAGCTGTTTCATGGTACCCTTGAGCTGCTTCATTATTCATAGAACATCCTGACAGTTAAGAGCAATATAACATAAAACAAACATACCAGAAATTTTCAACTGATTGAGACCATTACAAAATAACATAAACAAGCAAAGCTAGGATATAAAACTAAGAAAGGGAACTGATTATTAGAATGAAAAACAAAAGCACACACAAAATATATCATCAACATAACATAAGCATAGCACCTTATCAGTCATAAGGACCTTGCCTTTCTATAATTTCTCCAAATATGAAATGCTCATTTTAGTTCATTTGCAAAATAAGAGGTTATGCTAATGAGAGCCATAACTGAATTCTGCTACCACCACCCATTCTCCCTTTTCTGGCACAGCAAGGGCCATTGCTATAAGGGCATGAGGGGTGTGACACCTTCTTAAAAAAAATTGGTTGCAAAAACGAGGATTTTTTGTCATCTAGAGGTGCTTATTCTGCAAAGTTCCCTACTTGCCAGCAAATACATGATGGCTCACCAGTTTTGTGGACAAATAGGAGCTGGAAACCCCCATTGAGCACAATAGCTAGTGACAGCCTGAATACAGCTAATACATTTGACAGAAGTGTTAAGGCGAGCTTTGGGTGTTACAGTATGAGTGATTTAATTGCATAGCTCAATATACTTAAATTTTTGCTTTTCGTGGAGTTTGCTTCACACTCAATTTCACTGACTTTATTTATGAACTTTTTGTTGGCTGCAGAGAAGATGTACCCATATACACTCTGGGGCAATTTCTTATCCAATTTGCTTGTAGTGGGGCTTTAGCATCGTAATATTGTAGTAATTCAGTATTTGAGATATTTGTATGTGATATTGTAGTACTGTTTTGAATCTCAATATTGTATAATGGGCATTGGTTTATTGAAGAAATCCTACTTCTCCAAAAATGTATACAGTGGTTATCGTAAAGTAAATATTATTGTTGCAGTTAAACAGTTAAACAATAGAAAAATTAAACACACCTGGGCTCCTTGTGTCCTAAAATGTAATGACAATAGAAGAGTTGATATTATGTGACACTAGTGTAACTGAATCAACATAGTTTATGAAAAAAAATTAAGTTTGAATTTTTTAAGGACTCTTCAACAATTGTAAATCAGATTTCGTCTTTATTAACATTTAACACAAAAGGTATCAAATCATATTTCATCCACTGTTCCATATTTACAGCACATTCTGAATTTATTGGTATTCTTTAACACCACTTAGACCAAAATAACTTTGGTTAACTCAAACCAACATGGCCAAAGGAATGAATTCCTTTCCGTGGTTGTTTACATTTAGAAATTTCATGCAACTTATGCTCCTTCTTCCCTGTTGAACTGTCTTTAATTTTTTAGGTACAAAGAGCAAGCCATTAAAAGTCGGCGCGTAGAGCTAACACGTTTCATGAAAAAGTCATCAAAGGAGGGTTTTTGACCTAATTTTTATAGGAAACCTAAATGTCAAAGTATTCTAGAAACATAATGTAATGTGATTCAGGGTCAAATTTTAGTTACCTTTGCATGGTTACAAAAAACATCACAATATATAATACTTACTTAGTAAACTTAAGCTTTCCAACTATGCCACTAGAATCGGCTTTATTCCAAGTTTCTGATAAATATTTTGGAACCTTAAGATGAAAATCATAAAGAATGTTATTAAGGGTAGAGAAAAAGTATTAATTAGCACATTTAGCTTAGTCTATCATAAGCTAATCTAATGGGAATTGATTTATTTGCTTTTGATTTTGATGATTTAATTGAGTAACTCACAGTGGCATAGCATTAGCTGAAACCTTGGGCTTGCAGTTGTGATGAAAGTGGGCAGCACCCCCGGTGAAAAATCTTGCAGGATCCTACAGGATCCTGTGGGATCCTAGGAGGATCCTAGATTTTTAGGATCCTGGACAAGATCCTACCACAAATCCTGCAAGATCCTGTGTGCATAGGATCTGATGCAAGATCCCACATAAGGATCCTGTAAGACAAACACAACTTAAGATCTTACACAGGATCCTACCAAAAATCTTACAGGATTTTAAAACAGGATCTTGAATGGGATCTTGCTAGGATCCAGAATGACATTGTAGGATCTTACAAGAACTAGATTAGGATCTTACACAAAACAATTCCAAGATCCTATTGAATTGTGACATGGATCCTGTCAGGATCTTGAATATAAAGATAGGATCCTGTACAAATTCAAACAGGATCCTGTTACATTCTGACCAGGATCCTTCCAGCATCTTGAATCCTAAATGTATAGGATCCTATACAAGACCTTACATAAGGATCCTGTAGGAGATAAACAGCTGAAGATCTTACACAGGATCCTACCAAAAATCTTACAGAATTCTAAAACAGGATCTTGAATAGGATCTTGCTAGGATCCATAGTGACATTGCAGGATCTTACAAGAACTAGATTAGGATCTTACACATAACGATTCCAAGATCCTATTTGATTGTGACATGGATCCTGCCAGGATCTTGAATATAACGATAGGATCCTGTAGAATCTTAAAGAGGATCCTGTTACATTCTGACCAGGATCCTACCAACATCTTGAATCCTAAGCGGTGGTGTAGTGCTATCAAAAAAACAAGGGGGGCTCTTGCACAAAAAGTTGCAAAAAACAATAGAAAAATATAAATTTGCCAAGTTTTGGCATTAACAAGGGGGGCTCAGCCCCTAGCACTACACCCCTGATCCTAAGTGTATATCAATCGATTTCGTGGACTTTTGATGCAGCAAAGCGCAAGAAAAACAAAACATATGATCATATCAATCTCTGATGTATATAAATACCACACCCTTTAGTTTAGCTTTTTCAAATACATTTCAGAATTATTTCTTCATGTCACTTTCATGTATTGGCTTAAATCGATTTACTATTTTTAGGCATACTCTTTTTAAGTTGAATTAATTCCATTTTTAAAATGGAACTTATTACTTTATGTGGCCCCTTAGATGCTAGACGTTGATTCTCTGTTGCAGTTTGCCCCCTCTTCCCAGAGGCGTCGGCATAGGGGGGTACGGTGGGGGTGTGGTATCCCAACAATTTGTTGGTCGGCACAGTAAGGATTTTTGCTGGGCACTCGCTCTGCAACCTTTTTGCAACATTTCTGTGTAGTTGAACTATCAAAGTATGGCACTAGAGTATAAACTTTGAAACAGAAAGGAATAAAAGCAGCATGCAAGAGTATTTATCTTTTTTAGAGTATTTATAGTTTTTGACCACACCCTTAAAGAATGAAACGCGCCCTTTTTTGTCGGCAAAAATCGCCTCTTCATCCCTCTAAACAATTTTCTTGGCTACACTCCTGCCTCTTCCCCAACTCTTGGGGGCCCTGGGCATGTTCAGGCTATCAATTTTCTTTTTAAGGTTCAAAAAGTTTGAAGTTTATCTAAAAGGCATAAAATTCGTCCGCCATAATTAAAGCATCAGTTTTATAACGGAGCAGCTTTCCATTTTAGCACTGCACAAAACCGTTTTGTCATTGCACAAATTGGTTATCATTGCACCCCAAATTAGATATGCTGTCGGGTAAATATGGTTATAGAAAACGATGTTGAACTGGAAAGAATATTTTTCAAATAACTTGTTTTCGACTTATTCAAAATCAGGGACTTTCAAGGGGTGATCGTGCTGTAACCGGTGTTCTGGTAGGTACGGGGATTCATAAACTGCGATAACCATCGCTAATGGAGTGAATTGTCGCATGCCTTTTTTACCAACCAATCAGAGGACACTTGGCAGTCCAGCGGGTCACATTTTGAACGAGACAATCTGTTGGTGGAAAGCAGAAGAAAGACTTGCAAAATGCGACCCGCTGTAAAACGCGACCAGAGATGCAAAATGCTGAACATCTGTCAGGCGCTTTTTCGAAAAAGTCAAGATTGCAAGCAAAAGAATCGAGAAGAATGGATCCAGCTTAGCAGGTAAAAGAATATTCTTCTTTGGTACTGTGCTAGACCAGATATTATTTTAAAAAAATTAGAGTCTGACCTAAAACTGCTGCTAGAACATGTAAAGGCCAAGAAGGATAATTTTAGGAAACACTTTAAATGAGTAGATTTTGTGTGAACCTTGAAAATTGCACTTTAAAATTTCAAATTGCTCAAAAACTGTTTCAAACCGCCAACAGCCAATTTGCTACAAAGTTTAGAAATCTTTGTATCGTTTTAAATGTTCTTAGTGGGCCAAGTTTTTACATCACAAAAGCTAACATGCGCATTTTTCATAAGAAACTAAGCAAACTACCAGTTAAAATTTTCTTAACTTTATTAATGAATTTATTATTGAAAGTTTGCTTCAATACCAAGAACTAAAAAGCTACTTTATGGGAAAAAACACAAACAAACGCAACAGAATATCAAACGTAACAAACACCTAATCAGTTGTAAGGAGTTATATTCTTTCTATTATCTATGAAAATTTAAACACAAATAGGTTTCTTATCGACTAAAAGAACTAAATTTCGAGCAGCTTCTTAAAGTTGGGGGTGATCAGTACTATTTTTTAATTTTTTGGCCATCTTTGGGCTCGTTCTTATGGAAAATCTGTAAAAAAACTACAAAAAAAATGCTATTCAGAGAATCATTTTCTGGCGCCTCATTAGTTTCATGACGCACATCCAAGAGGCTTTTTCTTTTAAAATAAAGAGCTGGCACAAATCTTTCAACCCACTGCCAAAATTAGGGCTGTTCCAAATGCCGACAAGCTATATTCCAATCAGTTATCTAGATGACATCCCATTACTAGAAATCACATTGAATTCCAATTTGTTTTGTTTCTGTCAAACAATCGGTTGCAAGGAAATGGTTGCAGTCTTCTTGAAAGGCTTGATAGCGCAGACCCAGGTCATAAATACTTATAAGCAAATGCCACCATGCTACTTTTAATATGATCGTGCATTTCATAAATAATTCAGGCGCAGTGAGAGTCAAAATTCGTATTAGGAGGTTGTCGATAGACAATATTTCCTTAAAATCTCGACAGAGTAGCAAAATTTCGTACACATTTTCCAACAATGAGATGCTTTAGGGGGGCTGTAGCTTCCCTGACTTCAAGGAAAATGCTTTACACAAATGTCATAACGTTTTCAGCTTATCTCAAACAAATATTAGCTCTCTTCTATATGAAAAAAGCGTTTAGAACATCTACTTCATAAAAAACTGTAACTGAAAGTCTCAGTCCTCCAGGTTATGATAATTTTGTTGATAAAAAGGGGATTCTGACTTTTTTGTCTGTAAAAACGATTTTTTGTAGGTTACAAAAGAAAACAAACAAGTAATGTTCTGTGGAGATTTCAACCTAGGATTGTCAAGGTACGAAGATCTACCTCCTGGTCCCGGCAAGATATACAATTATAGCGATTTTAAAATATTTTTGGTTATGGCATGATTTGTCTTCAATCTACTATTTCCTTTGGCTAAAAGATTTTACGATTTTTGCAAGAAAGTCACATCTTTGGCCATAATACCAAGAGGTTGCGAAAAGCAACATTTGTTGATGTTAAGAATCAGTTGATGATGTTGATAAACTGAAATCGGTTCATAAAGTGTTCTACCATACTATGATTGAAGACAAAATAGTAGATTGAAGACAAATCATGCCATAACCGAAAATATTTTAAAATCGCTATAATTGTATATCTTGACGGGACCAGGTATAGCGGTACATTATTATATTCAAAATATATAGGATTATAGTAGGGATAATACTGTAATGAAGTTCATAAATGCAAATAAAAGTTTGTCTGCCATGTAAACATGCAAAAACAAGAGTTCAGTGGCCCCCTTTGGTCCGTTGCACCATCCTTTCTTGTACTTGATGGAAAGAGGGCATGGCTATGCAAAACAGTCACCCTTCTGCGAGATATTCATTGTAAGACATTTCAAGACTTAATTTTACAATGTAAAATTAAAACCAATTTCAAATCCTTATGATTCATCTGGAACCTTCTATTTTTTGAAATTTTAAATCTTTTCTCATTCTAGGTGCTTTCAATGCAGTTTAAAGAGAGTAAAATACAGCAAAGCAGAGTGAGGTTATAAACAGAACAATTAAACAGAAATGTCTTGACAAACTAGTAAATTAAGCATAGTTGATGAAGATGTAGTATACAAAGATTGTGACTTTATCAAATGTGAATCACATGAAACTTGATTTGCTCTCTACAGATCTACTTCTTGAACTCTTATTTGGTAGAAGGTCCTACAATATCCTTTATTAGGATCCTGAACAGATCATATACAGGATCCTGATTAGATCATATACAGGATCCTGATTAGATCCTATACAGGATCCTGATAAGATCATATATAGGATCCTGAACAGATCATATGCAGGATCCTGACAAGATCATATATAGGATCCTGAACAGATCATATACAGGATCCTGATTGGATCATATACAGGATCCTGATTAGATCCTATACAGGATCTTAAAAATATCCTGTCCAAGACCCGAATCATTTCCTACAGGATCTTGATGAGATCCTATTCAGGACCCTGCACATATCCTATATAGGATCCTTTACAGGATCCTGCAAGATTTTTCACTAAGGTTCAAGAAATACATAGGATCCTATTAAGATCTTTTAAGGAATACTTTTATTCTTATCAGGATCCTGTAAGATCTTATTAAGATCCTATAGGATCCTATAAGATCCTATAGGATCTTGTACAGAATCTTGCACAAGATCCTGTAGGATCCTTTACCAATATCCTGTGAGGATCCTGCGAGGATCCTATACAGGATCCTGCAAGATTTTTCACCGGGGACAGCGCATTATTTTTGCATAGTACCTAGATATTGTGTGTACTAAATTCCTTCACAAATAGCTTCAAATCAAGCAAACCTTATGTTGGTCTTCCTGCATAAATTAATCCCTCAAAACCCTTTCTTACATTTAATATAAATCATACTTTCCATAAACTCTAATTAGGAATCTCCGCCTTCCCCCATCCTACTTCAAAATAAGTTCCATTATCCCTGTAAAATATGACAGCTAGAACAATGCACAGTTGCAAAGTTGGTAAAGAGGGAAGAGATGCTAGAGATAAAAACTTTAATATGCAAAAGTTTTGGGAAACTGAACACTGTAATCATTAAATGTTTAGCAAAAGCTTGTGCTCCTATCCACTGTACGGACAGTTCCAAAATTCTGACTAAACTGGGTAGCATTGTCCTCTGAATTTTCAAAAGTGAAACTAAATTGAGACTGGTGAATACAGTTTCTCTGAATATTTATTTTATTTATCAGTATTTTTTGTAAGTAGAACAAGATAGTGAAATACTTTTATGAAACTCATCATGCACTGAGTATTGAGACATAATAGCTTTTAGGGACATAATGATTTTTAAAATTGGCAAATACTGGAAATTCTTTTTATTCTCAGATAAGACTGCCAGTATATAATTGCAGGCTTTTCTTAACTATTTTCAAAACTTTTCTTTAAGACAGCTTTATCATGCTTCATCTGGCAAGTCTTTTACAATTTCAATAGCCCAAAATGTAACATTTTCTCATTAAAAGCTGCTCACATTTCATTGCTAGGGAACTGACAAGACATGTTTTATCTTTCTTGATCTGTCTAATGGGAGGGGCTTGAATTTTTGCCCGTCATCATTTGAAGGGGAGTCTAATAAAAATTCAAATGAAAAACAGGGTATCAAAACTTAACAAGAATTTGTGTTTGTCTGTTAGCCATTTCTCTGGCAGGAATTAATGACACATCCTTTAACTAAATCATATTCAAAACTTGCTTTTGAATGTCATTGGGGTAGAATATCGAAAACAATGCAAAGAGTTTTGCACTCTGGTAGGCCAGTCTGGATTTCACAACAGTTTTTGACGAGATCTCAGTAGTGTACAAGCTTTGACATATAGTGCAATGTGAACTTGCGATAAGTGTTAACATTTGGGTGTTGAAAGCTTTCCTAGAACTACCACCAGTGGCTGTTATTCAAATTCCGGTTTAGCAAGCAAAGGAACAATTATAGAAAGCATTTTTATAAAGGCCTAAAACATGGTAATATAAATGGAAGATCACAAGCTTAGTCACTAAGAGGGGAAAAGGGGGCACATTAGCCCAGGACCCGGTTGTGTCATCACAGGGTGGGCTGGGGTGGACCCCGTAGAAAAACCTTTGAGGGGGGGGGGGGAGAGGAAGGTTTTGCTGATCAGATCAATTTCAATTTTGGCACTTGCAAAAGGCCTGGCCAATAAAATTTGTTTCTCCACCCCAGTATTTTAGACCTATAAGGCCTAAAAAGAGTTAAAAGTGGTAAATCGTTCAAAACAATGGCAAGAAAATGACTGCAAGAATTATTCTGAAATTTATAGTTATAGGAACTTTTGATTCATTCGCTCAAAGGGCCAGCTTGGCCTTAGAGCTTGAAAACTTCTTGGCAGCATTGATCTCAAGAGGATTACTCAATTTAGAATGACAATTTTTAATTTCTTTTGCAAACAAATTTAGAAAGTCATTTTGTGATCTTTGACAAATTCTGTAAATCTAAGCCACATCCAAAATCACGCCCAAGCCATGCTCATCAATCAGGTGTGCAATAGTGATAATTTTACAAAAAAGATTGTCCAGAGTGCAGCTGCCATTGAATTCATGCTGGCTTGGCTGGTTGTATAGAAGGAAGGCACCTAGAATTGAATATACAATCTATAATATTGTATTTTGAGGTGAAAATATTACATCAATCACCTTAACCAGCCACACATTTCTTGATAAGCCAGAGCAATCGAGGTTGCTTTCTTTATCGTCCATTGCTTTTATTTTACCAGTAACTGTGGCGAAAAATTTCCCTCTCTGTTTTCAAAAACAAGAATTTCTGGACAACTATTGAGGTGCCATTTGAAATTAGCCTCAGTTCAGTGTAACCCGCGGGTTTACTGTTCAAAAACTACGTGCTAACTGTTACCTGGGGGTACTGTGAGGGCCAAATTTGAAATTCTGCGGGGATCCTCACATTTTCCCTAAACAGGGCCCACTTTTTGGTAAGCAAAAGCATTTCCAAAGAGGCCCCGTTTTGAAGCATTAAATTCAAGTTCGACTTATAGAACTCTGCTAGAGAAAGATTTGGTTAGCCCAAGCTTCCATATTAATAAAGCTGTAGATTACGCCAATTAAATCGGACATCCATTTAACCGAAATGTTCGGCAGATAGCTTCAGCAAAAGTATTTTCATTTCATTTTAATTCATTGAAGGAGGTTCGCCTCCAGCCTGAGCAGATATAAGGGGCCCTCCGCTTATAATCTTTATTTACAAGCGTAAATATTAAAAAATGCATACAACAAAATAATTTATAAATTATTATCTTTTTGATGGTACAAAATTGAAAATGGCTTTGAAAAAAGCAAACAATTAGTAAACTAAAGCTTTTCGTCTGACACTCTTTAGAGTTTAAAACGTCAGAACATAGATCGAAAACTCTACGCTAGTAAACCTCAACAGTCATGTGCTCGTGTTTCTGATTGGCCTACATCTGGATATCCACAACTGGGTATATAAATTGCCTAGCGTAGAGTTTTCCTAGGCAATTTATAAATTGTTATAAACCTAATACGAAACAGAATTTATTATCAGTTAGTTGCCAAAAGAGGAAATCTAGAATTTGTGAAGGCATTCAAAACAGAATTAAAAGCTAGGAATTTCAAGACTGCAATGGGAAGATAAGCTATACATTTCACTTTCACTTTGGCAGTTATGTAGTTTTTTTTGAGGCAATGCATCATAGATATTGTTTAAATATTTACTCCCATAGATAGTCTGCCAAAATGGCTAGCTTTTAAAGCCGATGTTAAGTTAAAAAAAGTGATGGTATTGGCAGCTACAATAACGATTACGACGAGGAAGAAGACAGAGACGAAGGCGAATACAAAAAAGAACGGGGTAAAAACGGACAACAAAGAAGAAGACAAGGATTACTGTTGAAACGAGGAGGAGGACGGAGAGGAACCGAAGATGAAGGCGAGGACGAGAACGAAGATGACAAGACAAAAACAAAGACGAAGAGGAAGACAAAGACCAAGATGAGCACGAAAACGAAAACAAACCGAGGACGAAGAGTACGACGAAAATGGGGATAAAAACAAGAATGAAAGCTGAAATTTTCTGCTGCAAGTGCATCTAGTAGATGAATTTGGATAGTTTGTACTGAATGCTTTGCTCTTGCAGTTTTATGAATTTCTTGTGCTTGTTAGGCAATAGATGCTTTGAAAATGCTGATCAAATCAAATTTTATTAGAGTTAGCTTTGCAAGGAATGTTGTACGATTTGATCTCACTAGGGATATTTATTTTAAGCTGATTTATATTATTCTTATTTGGATGTCAAAGAGTGTAGTCAAAGTATGTCACTCTGTATGCAAAGTTTCTTTTTGATAGACATTGTACTTTTACGCAACTTAATTTTCCTTCTGGCTCTTTTTATCTTTTGGCCTTCTTTCTAGCTCCACTTAAAAACAAAACTCAGTAAACTTTTTCTTTCTTGCCGCTATGCTTTTTTCGTGGCACTAAATATGCAGTTAAAATAAGGGAGCTCTTATTGAGGTTTTGGAACCGCATTTTGATTAAAGGTCTGGATTTTAGGAACTTTAGAGACTTGGTCTTGAGCTGTAATCTTTAGAAAAAAGTGTGTAGTGAATATTCGTGTAATGCGTATTTGTTGAGATTTATGACGACTTATACGACTCCTGTCTTGCAAATTTTTTGAGATAGATTCAAAGGGGTGGATAAGATATCTGGGGCGATTCGCCCATTGGACACTATCGCCGAACCGACACCACTCTGCTTAAATATAAATTACGACCATCAACAATAGACAACTTGCACTTGACATCATTACATAGTGGCTGAAGTTTGTTGCAATAACACGGTTCATGACATCATGGTTACGCTGTTTCCGTACTGACTTTTTGTAGGATTGAGACTTTAGGCTTCGAGATTTGTGACTAATTACTATTACAATGTCTCTTTAAAGCGTTCTTATATGTTGTTTATAAGCCATTTTCAAACCTTTTTATGAAATATTTAGGATCAAGAACCATTCTAGCAAAGAGTTTTAATTAAAAATTTTCAGTGAAGAATATGGATGTCCTCCCTACTGTACTGCAGGCATAGCTTGTTTCCTCGTTCTACAGCGCAGTAGTGGAGCCACTTCACTAAAACATCGTGATTATAGAAAATACAATACTCTGTTTCTATTTGCCAGCATGCTTGCATTATTTAAAAAGGCCCCACGGTGGCTTGGCATCTGGGGGTTATAGTAGCATTTTGTTTGTCAGTGGTAGGGGGACTCGTAGAAATTTCCCCTTCCATTTACCATGTTCAAAATGCCCTGCGAAGAGCTCTTGGAATTTTGGATGAAGAGGTCAAACAGTATGGTGGAGCCATTTCATGCAGGGACTAAAATACCGTTGTCCTAGATTAGCCAGCTGCCAGCGACCCCCTAGTTTAGGGTTGGTGGCGTGGGCCCTAATCTGGATATCTTACAAAAAATCCTGAGATGTAGCCTGCTCGGCTATCAAAATTATTTTGTTGCGTTGCATTTTAGGTCGAGGTAAAAACTTGTCTTTGATCACAATAGGATTTTCACATAGGATTGAAGAGCTGAAATTACTGCACTTTCTTTAAAATCCTAGCAAACAAGCTAAATGGGACAAAAATCTTTTGCATAACATGGTGATAGAAATAGGCAATGATGGGAATGAAAAGTATACTTAAATTACATTATTGTATGTATGTTATCAATGCTTTTACTAATATGGTCTCAAGTTTATCTCATTCACAAGTTCATCTCTCATATGTAAAATTATACTTGAAAAGCCCCTTCATGATGCATGAAAAAGTACCTTCAATTGTCCTTTTGGTGTTTCCAAAAATATTTTCTGCAAAGAAAGCTACCAGGTGTGGCTGAGCCTTTTTAAAAAAGTTCCCAGAAGGTTCAAGCCTAAAGCCTTCATGCAGTCAGTGCTGATGCCTAAATCATTGAAGCCATGATAATTTTCTTACAAAACTTAAAAAAACCATTGAGTGGCAGGAAGCAGGCCTGTCAATCCTCCATGCTTTGCCGAAGGACTCCATGTTTTTACTGCTTTTTCTTGGTTCCTCAGATTTTTTTTAAATTTTCCCATTCCTCAATTTTCCAAATTTAAAATTCTTTTAGTAGGAATTATTACAATGACTTTCTCACTATCAGTGCTTACGAAGAAAAAAAACACTAAAGATAATTATGAAGAAGTTTCTCCTGATAATTTTGTCATCAACTGTTTTTCCAGCACAATATTATACAAGAATGTTGTTTACAATTCAACAAATTTCGGTGATCTCTTTGTTTTTCACCAGATCTTCCTGTTCAATTATCGCGCAACTGGATAATTATCAATGACAAGTAAACATATTATCATTGACAAGAAAAAATATTTTTCTATTTTTCCTATGATAGCATCGTTCTTATAATAACCTATCAATGAAGCAGCTACATCTTTCTTAAATTTGCCTTAGTGCAACATTTCTATGAAATTAACCATTGTATAGACAAATGTTATTTCTAGTCTAGGTGACTGGATGCTAAAACCAGTATCCTTTTAATTTTTTCTTGCCAGAATTTTCATTGTATTACTTCTCATATTTTCTTAATTCAATTAATATCAAACAGCATAAAGCAAAGCTTAGGGAAAATCCTATGCCACATCAAACTCATGGCAATAATCAAAGTGCATAAAATGTTGTATTGAGTGGCTGCTGAAAACCAACATGATATCAGATTCATTGCTAACAATGAGCCTTTGCGAGGGTGGCAAATTATCCAGGTGACAATCAAACAATGGCAGTAAACTTTACGGATTAACCATAATTGATTTCAGATTGTCTGAAAATGCATTATGGGATGCTTGCGTAGTGCAATGGCTCATTGTTAGCAATGAGTCTTTAAGAACACAGATTACACTGCTGACATATTTCTAGTAGTTATGAATCTGCAACTGTTCAGCCAGTTGATGAGCAGCAGAGTAACAATATGTGGACTGTGAATCTGTATTGTATTCACAAATAATGATGCATTTACCAGTTCGCACAATTACAAAACCAGACTTTTTCAGACAGCAGACCACTGATGAACCAGGTTCACAAGCAAGATATGTGTACTTTTCACCACCCAATGTTATACCAGTATATAGTGTTGCTGGGTCACTTGAAAGAGATCTTTCAACAGTCCTGATTTCTGCTTGACTTATCTGTCAAAACAAATAGATGAAGGGTATAATACCCATGATAGAAAACCCAATCAAAGAATTAAAAGAAGTTGATTTCAACAAATAGTTGATGAACTGCTTGTTATCTAAATATTTCATGTGTCAATTTAACTTGGTAAATTACACTTGAAGACTAGCACTCTAACAAAGCAGGAGACCCAAAAAGTCAGATGAGGGTAAGCAATTGAATTCCAGAAAACTTGTATAAATTTGGTTTGCGTGTAGCTGCAAGCAATAGCGCCCTATAAGCTGCAACCTGTGAGCAAGGAATTTGAGCTTTGAGCAACAAAAATCAAATAATCACATTGTGGGTCAGGTGCAAGTAGAAAATAGCCAGCAAAGCTGCAGGTTTTTCAGGTTGGGCTGCAAACAGAATTTTCAGGCTTGGCTGCAAAGATAATTTTCAATCACCTTGCCTACAACCTGCAAACAATTTTGAAGTGCACATGAAGATAACTAAGTGTGATTTTAGAAAATTACTTTGTTGCATATAGCTACATATGACATTTAATTTTCCAATCTGGCTTAAGGCTTACAATGACTGCCTGAACATAGGCAAGCTATGCCCAGCAGTGTTGAAAGGGATATTGTTTTATTAGCCAGTGATTAGTAAAGTCCCTCATCTTACATGATCATATTTTGTCAAATTAAATTCACTGAATCTCCTTTGCATCAAACTTTGTCAAATCGAAAGCTACACCAGGGAGGGTGAGAGAAAGAAATTACATTCATTCACGATTGGATTAAGTCGAAAGAGATAGAACATTCACTATTCTCAAAAAATCGTATTTGAAAGTCTGGAAAGGCCTTTCGGCTTTTGATTTTTCCTAATACGCTGTCAGATTCAGCTGAATGCAATGAGTCAAATTTTGGACCCCGAAGTTAAGAGTTAAACTAGGTTTTTAAGATTTTGCACTAAAAACTGGCATTTTCAACCACATAAATAAACTAACTGCTGATTACGTGTTGCTAGTTAATAGTAAGATAATGTGGAAAGTGAGGCATTTCAGCGAGAACATAGTTGTGTAATCAAGGAAGTTCTGAGATCGTTTTAAATCACGAATTTATCGTTCTAAAATCTAAACCGAACACAAGGATGAGTTTTACGACACGACACGAGAAAAAAAGCAAAATTAACTGTAAGGTCTTGGCTTGAAGCATAGCAAACACCATCAACACCATAAATAGCTGCTCTGGATATTCCCTCTTGAGAAAGTAGCTTATTCTCTAAAATTGACTGCCAAGTCATCGCTTCAACAATGTAAAAATGCCCCAGTTGCTATATAAGGTGCAACGGCTTTATTTAAGGTGGTTGAATATTTACGGCCTCTTTTTGAAGCATATTGTCACACTCTAATTTTGTGACATCAGTCTGTGTTTACAATGAAAGGGTGGTAGAACTCGAAGAACATCGTGTGATTTTACCAACACGAAAGGCACCAGGATGACTATTTACAACATGTACATGTTTGATCGAAACGGAACTTGTTTGTTTTACCAGGAATGGCAAAGAAGGAAGGACTCGCAATTATCAAAGGACGAGGTAAGGCGGCGGCATAGATAAACAAAGCAAGATTTTGATATAGGAACTACCTAGCTACACGCAAAAATGGCACCAAATAAATCTATTGAGCCCTCCTCATTAGCATTGGGTTTGAAAAGGCCCCCACCCAAATAGAAGTACAGCTTTTGAAAAAGGAAGCCAATTGTTTGGAGCTTCCACTAATTCATTTTTTTAGTAGATACATTAACAATCTGTACAGCACACCAAATATAAAATGGTGTGATTTAGAAACCATTATTATATAAAATCTCTGTATCTCCATAAGATGGGTAACATAGGGGCCCAATGACTATGTACGAAGAAGATGTCTGGTACGTAATATGAGCTCAGTAAAGAGCGGTAGCAAGAAGGATTTGACTTTTCTATGAAGATGTTCATAAAGAAAAAAGTATCAGAATACAGGGTCTTGGGAGGAATTTACTCTCGTTGACATTGTCATTGACGATGGAGTACGATCTCTCAGGCTGATTCTTTTTAATTTATACCGTAAAAGCTCTATTAAGCCCCAGGGTCTTATTTATTTTTCAGGCTTAGAATGAAAAGCTTATTTGAGAGCGTGGCTTATCTGAGGGGGGGGGGGCTTATTTGAGAGGGTGGCTTATTAATCATTGAAAACAAAACATTATAAAAATGCCAATGCTCTAGGATTTCTTCGAAAGATCAGCATCAGTATCCTCTTGACTTCTAAGGCGCACAAGGAAATCTTTACATGAACCGTATGCACATGATCTTATCATCATCAACACCGATCAAGAGACCCACTCAATTTGCATGTTTTATTTGTTTGAAAGCAGGGGCAAAAGCGGGGATCTTAATAGAAAGGGAGGGCTTATTTTAAATTTTGGCATGGTAATGGGGCTTGATAGAGAGGGGATTAATAGAGAGATGGCTTAATAGAGAGGGGGGCTTAATAGAGCTTTTACGATATGCCGATTTACAATGATTTACAGAGATTCATGAGCATTTGAGCTGATTCATGATGAACTTTGCAGATTTATCATGACAATAAACTCACAATGATTCACGATTCTTAACACTGCTTCATGGTGATTAATGCTGGTTCACAACCATTTGCATTCATTCATGATGGTTCATGATTATGCAGAGATATCGTAAACTTGAAGAGTTTATTGTTTCATTCAACAAAACAGCTAATTGCAATCCAACCAATGATGAGATAAGAGTTGCATGTAGATTGTCAGGGCTTTCAGGCATCTTTTTTTAAAGGCAGTCTGTCCCCTCAATGATTGGCTAATATGAACAATAGCTTATCCTGCCTCAATGGATTAAGCTGCTTGCTTTGGCAAGGCGAGAATACAAATTTGCAAAATTGTCTTACTGATGACCTTGAGTTGAGTCAACATCACTTCTTAGCCGCAAGCGAAAGCAAGCGGGATGCTAATTAGAGGAAAATGGGAATTCCTTGCTTGGCCTTATGAAACGGCAACAGCATAACCCCCAGTATCAGAACAAAAAAATGTGTCATGCGGCTGCAGCCAAAGGGTCCACCTGGCCAATGGCCAACTTCCCTTTTGGCATGGCCAAAATAAAAATTTGCAAATTTGACTTGCTGATGACGATGAGTCAACATCATTGCGTAGCCCCAAGTCAGAGAAAGTGGGACACTAATAAGAGGAAAATGGGAATTCTGTTCGCGTAGCATTTGGTTATAGAAATTGCGGAGAACGGTTACTTAACTAAACTTCGCGCTAAATCCTTGGACAATAACAGTAGTTACCATTATTAACTAAAACAATAACTAAGAAGTTATGATTTCAGGCACGCAGTCTTAAAACTTCAAAGTAAACTTGTCTGCGCAAGAAACAAAGTTTCCAGTCTGGGTTGTTGCTAAATTTTCCAGTCTTTAATACAACTGTAAAGATTTAACTTTTTGTATATAACTGTACGCCAGGGCTGAATGATAACATGGACTGTTGACTGGAGAGGACTAAGTGCCTTTCTAAAGCTACAAAGTATTCCAAAAATTGAACAAAGCACAAAGTTTTGCATAAGAGCCTTAGATCTTAAAAAATTTTCTTTGTAATTTTACTGTTTTATTCTTTAGGAATTCAAGCTTACATATGGAATGCTTTTCTCCTTGAAGTCATTTGTCAGCCGCATATCACCAGTTGATCCGTATCTTTTCTTATATCAGTAACTAAATGATTAAACCTGGTGAATATAGGAAAATTGGGTGACCAACATGTTTTACTGCATGTTATATTTGTAGGATGCTATTTTCCCGAGAGATTTCCTTGATTCATCAATTAAGTCAATCCACTTCCTAGCCAGATTTCAAACTTTATTTCTTGCACATTCAATTTTAACAATATGAAGATGCAGATTTGAAATTTGCTGTTTGGAATGGAGGAACAGGATTGCTATAGCATTGCTTTCACTTTATTTTGCTCAAAATTCAATCAAATATAGTGAGGTATTGCCTGATTGATACCAATAGTGTTTAATTTTATTACCTAGGAATTTTGTTTTGCAAATGCACAAAAGCACCAGGAAAAATGCATAATGCTTGTCAAGTGGTTTCACTGTGTCATGGAGCAGTTTCAGCATCTTCAGTTTCAGTTGTGTTTCAGAATATTGTGAAGTGGTTTAAAGCTCACCCTTGTTCTTTTGTGTGGTCACAAAACCACCCACACTGCAAAGTTGCAAAATCATTGTTTCTGTAGAATTTCATGTTATCTAGCAGCAACGTTTGTTTGAAACCGTACAAAACAAGATAAGGGCAGCTTGTCAAAAAACTAAAACTATAAGTTATATTCATATGTGATGGGGCAGATATGTGCAAATTGAGGATATAAAATTTAAGCATCAAACTTTCCAGTCTGGCTCCCAGACATTGAATTCTCCCAGGCTGTTACTAAAAGTAAGCTCTGGTTAAAGGGATGTAAACTAGATGATGTTAATTAAACAAATTTATATGAACTTCAAGTCCACTTTGCAAAGTTGTTCAAATCAAAACTTATCACTTCCACATTTCCTTGACTTGGAAGCAGAAAGGACAATTTTGTAAGCTACAAAACAAACAGATACAAGTTTCATTTGTATGAAACCCCTACTGGTGTTAAAATCTTAATGAACACGGATATAAATGTTACAAACATCAACGAGTATCTTCACTATATTTACATGGTAAGTGTCTATTTATTTACCCACCATTTCAATGCCAATTCACCAAGTGTTTGTAATAAGTGACCGAAACATTTTTTATGCTTGAATTGCTTTTAAGCATTATTTAGTTTTCATGAGGTCATCTTCAATTTTGACATTTGTTGTTTAAGATGAAATGTGGTTTTGCAAAATAGCTTTCATGCAGCAGTAGCACATACCAGTACTTGCATGAGAAGACTTTATGGTCAATTAAGATAAAAAACTGGTTTTTATCTTATCACTACCTCAAATTTTTTAAAACTTTATTACTCTACCAAGATTTATTTGAACTGATTAAATTAAATCTTAAAATTTGGAAGTTTTTGTAATCTGATAGAAATGGATAAATTAAAATATATCACTTATTTTAGAGATTGTAAGAGATTTTTAGAGAAGAGATTATAAAATTTATATATATACATAAAAAATTTCTATGTTCAATTGCCATATGAAGGCAAATAGTTTATTTATAATTTTAAAAATTAAAAATTCCCTCTTTCTTTTAGCTTTATGTGGATGTTGTTATCAAGAGTCCTGTCAGTGAAATTGGAGAGCCCATAGAATCAGAGCTGTTTTCATCAAGCCTAAATAATTACATCCAATCTCTTCCTATCTATCAATAGATTTTGCAAAATGAATTGCAGCTAATTATCTTATGCAAATATCATTGTATTGTAGTCTTATGTAGAATATTGGAATTTGTAAATATCAGTATGTAGCTAAATATCAGTTCTCAGAATTGAATATTTGTTGCATTGAATTTGAATTGTATCTTTTTCCATTTTCCCCCCACGTTTTTCTATTTTTGCTAGCTCTTTACTTCCTTAAACATTAGATAACTGATACTGACACTTATTTATTCCTGACATGCATCATAATTCATAACAACACTTCAATGGAGAAATGAAGTTGAAAATAAATGGTCAAGTAATGCCTAGTCTAAACTTCCTCCCTCTTTTGTGGTTCATTCCACGTTTCGCGTGTAAACAAAGGTTCCTGTAACTACTAGGTTGCTGAGAGAAGTTGAATGATTCACTATATCTATGTCACGCCGATTTGTCTCAATGGCAAGAAGGGCCAACACTTCCTTAAACTTTCCGATCTGTTGCTGAATAGAATGTTTACTTCAGTGATCTATGAAATTGCTAAGAAGGTGAAGAAAATACAGCTTTCGTTCAATTGCTTTTAATGGAAAGATATCCTTTCAAATACGTCATTCAAACTATTCAATAAATTAAGGAATTAAACTACATTCTTTGTCACAAGGCAGTCTCGTACATTTAACTTTCAGTGTGTATTTGGAACATCCCAGTTATTAGTGAAGTTTCTTTGAGTACCCGTACTTCTTGCCTGGTCTTCCTGGCCTGCCGCGTGGTCCGCGGGGTCCCCCAGGTCCTCTTGGTCCGGGTGCTCCGTCAAATCCGGGTTGTCCCTTCTTACCGGGTCTTCCTGGTCTTCCTGGTCTTCCTGGAAAACCTGGTCTACCTGGGCGACCTGGTCTTCCACGCTTCCCTGGACGACCTGGTAGTCCGTCTAATCCTGGTCGTCCTGGTCGTCCTCTTTTTCCTGGTCTGCCTGGTCTGCCTGGTCGCCCTTTTCGTCCTAATGTGAGATCAAAAGAAGTGTAGGGGACTTCGAAGAAACGTTTTGAGGTATAAACGTTTATACAAGTTAAATACAAGGCACTTTCAATGGGAAAGCAAGTGCTGAAAGGCTCAATTTATCTATCAATGAAACCTACTTTTAAACCGTTTATCATAATTCTTGTATTAAATTATTCTTATAAAACGGATATTTTGTCCAAACTCAAAATTGCTAGAAGGTCCAGTACCTGATTTTAACGTGGATTTGTCGCTAAAAGCTTCAAGAAAATAGTTTTAAAACTACTGCTATCTTCACTTGAATTATATGTTTTGATCAACGACAATTTAATATTCGTTTACTACTGAAACACATGCTACCTTGAAGGTATTCGATAAATTTCAAACAACATTAAAAACAGCTTCATATCCATCGTTTGCAGCAAGGGCAGCAAAATAAAGTGAGCCACAGACATACCTTCCTCGCCTGGGGCACCTGGGGGTCCCATTGGTCCTGCTGGCCCTGCTGGTCCTGGAGGTCCTGGTGGTCCTTTTACCACTTTGTATCCATAGCCTCCATATCCATCTTCCTCTTCGCCGTCAATGTAAAGGGCATTTGCGATTCCTGAAAGGCGAAATCAGCCACAGTAAGATACTAAACTTGATAGCATAGTTTTGCAATTGAAGAGAGTCGAGTATCTTTTCATACTTCGATACTATAATACGTAGACTGCATTATTGGGCAAAGCGACAAGAACTAAATCTATTGCTAAAGACAAACTTGTCTTTGTAACACAATAAACAAAAAATGTATATCGAAAAAGAAACCGTTTTTCATTATGTTTGTTTTGTAAAATTATGATTTATAGAATTATGTTAGCGTTTATCACATTGCTAAAAGAAGCAAAGCTGGTTCAATAGCATGCAGGATTGTAAATATGCTTACCCAGAATCAAACTGCAAAGTATGATTGCCTTCATCTTGAATTGTCGATAACTGGATAACGTCAATAACCCTTCGATGCAGACGATGCTGGAGCACTGACTGTGGATCTCATGCAAGCCAGTTTTTTATAGACAACCAGTCACAATTGTGGTTAAACTGCTTGATTTTTTAACTGCTTCATCTTGTGATTAAGTTGTAATTTGCTTTGGGACACGTTACATTTTAATCGAAATTTGAATGGCAAAGTGTCTCTGAAAACCCGTGTGAATGGAATGCATAGCCCACAAGATGTTGATTGAGGAAACTATGATTTTTTACCTGGCCTACCCGCAAAAATATTAATAAGATGAGTTCATTTAATAGCATGAGATTTCTTCCAAGCGTGCTTTTGGGGCTAGTTAACTGCGAAATAAAAAGCCACTAATAATATTGATATTCGGTTTCTCTCTAATTGATTTGATAACTGTGACTGGCTCATTTAGAATTCTGGGAATAGTTATAAAGACTCTGGCTGATGCAATCGTATTTTATAGAAAACAAAAAAAAAAGTTCTTGATTTAAGTATTGGATTTTTGTACTACGAGACAGGAAAGTAAAGGGGTATTATCTAATCTAGATCTGAAAGCTCTTTTGTTTATATGATTTTGAAAACATTCAAATGACAAAGACAACGAGAAGGTCAAAGAGAAGCACCATAAGATATCAGATATAAGTATGACATCAATTCTTCTGGTTCAAGTGAAATGAAGGAACTTTCAATAAGCAAACCGGTGAGGAAATCCCTCATCAGGCCCTAAGATTTTTTACAAGTTTGCCAATGACACCCAATTGGTACGTGCATGTTCTTGTATAAAAAGCTTAAAAATTAATCTAGTTGCATTAGTCCGGTGTGTGTACTCCCAGTTATCCTAAAAAAGGATTTTCAATGATTCTTTTGCTTTTCGGAATATTTTACAAAATTGCTAGGCAAACTTTTACTGTGCCATGATTGAAATATAGAATAGTCTTTCTTGAAAAGTACTTCTTGATAATTTTGGTTTTAAATGACATAAAAACTGTGTATAATAAAGTATATTGTATAATCAAAATGATGTTAGGATTGAATACAATTGAATGATAAATCAGCGTGCAATAGTTGTAAGATTGAAGAATAACTTTGAAACCATTTTTTTTTGTTTTCTCAAGATCGTTTTAAGAAATAACAGAATCCAAAGAAAATTTTACATGCAAAAAATGTAAGCTCATTGTTTAGAATAGGAACTCCTTTTCGCCCCTGGGTTTTTATATAATAACCCTTTATTCCCCTTCATCATTCAATGTTTCCTTTGCTTTCTTCTCGCCTCCAATTTTCTCTCTAATAATGCAAATGATGTTTTTTTCGCAATAACGAAGCATTACTTCCTTCTTTATTGTTTTATTTCAAGATATCTAGCGAAGACTGGGGAGCTGGTTGTTTTTGGAAATTTGTACAAAAAGTATTTATCACAAAACCACTTGTATTGGTCTGTATTATTCACAGGAAAAAAAACATTCAACAAGTTGGTAAAGAAGCCTAATTTTCGTTGTTCTTGGAAAACTTAATATTCGTTGTTCTTGGACAAGAATTTTGAATTACAAATAAAAAGAAATATAAAATATGCATCAATAAATATGCCTTTTACCGTATCTCTTTGACTTAATTGTTTGGTAAACATCCATTGAATTATTCGAAATATATAACATATAATCTAGTACAGGTTTATGCCCGTAGTTTTTGCCCAACAAAATGGCCTTATATTTTATTATGAATCTCTATGATTACCCTTTCAACCACCACCCCGAACCCCCTCATTCCAACATCAATAAACCAGATAGTATGACAAAAAACCATTTATTGCTAGGTACAGCTACTTTTTATAATTAGACCTTGCTACAATTTCATCAACCTTAGTTTATGACTGAAAAAAAACAAATAATATCATTGAATGTCTGACAGAAAATTTTGCTCACTTATTGTGATTCAGTTTTGGATTGTTTAACTGCATTTGATTAGTTAATGACCTTCAGAGAAAATCTCTGAAGAAACTGAATGTACTGGTTATAGAGTATCTTTCTTTCGAAAATAAGACTTGCCGGGAGGGCCTTGATCCTTCTCCCCTAAAAAAATGTAAGCAGCATAGGTAAAATACATTATTTTGTAACAAATGGCTGTTTTTGCACTTATTTACCAGGGTTGGCCCCCCAAACAAAAGTTTAGTGAGTAAAGCCCTAGCAAAACCACTAAACATTTCACTAAACATTTCGCTCAACTTTTGTTTAGTGAAGTTGAGCGAAGTTTAGCGAGGGTGGCAAAACGTGACTAAACTTTTGACTAAACTTCACTCAACTTTTTTGAACTGCCAGCTGTCTGTGACGCTGTTGGGTTGTTGGGGATCTTGCATAGGAGTTTGCTTTTAATTTATTTGTTGCATGCACAAGCAGTGGATAAACATAAGAATTGGATGAAGCGACGGGGAAAGAAAAGATTTTTTGGTAGATTAACACCAAAGTTGACCGTTGAAGAAGACACAGTAGCGTGCAACGAGATATGCAGATGTCTCATAAAGGCTTTTTGGGTCACGTAGAGACAGGAAAACCTACGAAAACAGACGAAAACATTTGGATTTCCACAGCTAGTGCGCTTGCGCGATCACAACAAATGTTTAATTGGTGGCAAAACTACTAAACATTTGCTAAACAACACTAAACAACGCTAAACATTTTTGACCAGGATCAAACTTTGCTCAACAACACTCAACACGACTAAACAACACTAAACAGGGTAGCAAAACGACTAAACTTTTCACTAAACTTTTGACTAAACAAGGTTTGGTTTAGACAATACCCCTTCGCTATTACTTCTCGCAGTACAAAATCCAATACTATATCAATATCAATAATGGCCTTACATTTCGCTGTTAACTAGCCCCACAAGCACGCTTGGAAGAAATCTCATACTATTAAATGAACTCATCATATTAATATTTTCGTGGGTAGGCCAGGTAAAAAATCGTAGTTTCCTCAATCAACATCTTGCGGGCTATGCATTCCATTCACACGGGTTTTCAGAGACACTTTGCCATTTAAATTTCGATTAAAATGTAACGTGCCCAGAAGGAAACTACAATTTAATCACAAGATGAGGCAGTTAACGAATCAAGCAGTTTAACCACAACTGTGACTGGTTGTCTATAAAAAAGCTGGCTTGCATGAGGTCCACAGTCAGTGCTCCAGCATCGTCTGCATCGAAGGGTTATTGACGTTATCCAGTTATCGACAATTCAAGATGAAGGCAATCATACTTTGCAGTTTGATTCTGGGTAAGCAAATTTTACAATCCTGCATGCTATTGAACCAGTTTTGCTTCTGTTAGCTATGTGATAAACGCTAACATAATTCTATGAATCACAATTTTACAAAACACAAATAATGAAAAACAGTTTCTTTCTTGATATATCTTTGGTTTATGTTTATTGTAGAATTAAGAACACGGGTTTGTCTTTAGCAAAAGTTTTCTCTGTTGTTTTTTTGCCCAAAAATGCCTTCTACTCAAGATAGTAATCGAAATATGTAAAACATACTCGACTCTCTTCAATTGCAAAACTATGCTATCAAGTTTAGTATTTTACTGTGGCTGATTTCGCCTTTCAGGAATCGCAAATGCCCTTTACATTGACGGTGAAGAGGAAGATGGATATGGAGGCTATGGATACAAAGTGGTAAAAGGACCACCAGGACCTCCAGGACCAGCAGGGCCAGCAGGACCAGTGGGACCCCCAGGTGCCCCAGGCGAGGAAGGTATGTCTGTGGCTCTTATCATTTAGCTGCCCTTGCTGCAAACGATGGATATGAAGCTGTTTTTAATGTTGTTTGAAATTTATCGAATACCTTCAAGGTAGCATGTGTTTCAGTAGTAAACGAATATGAAATTGTCGTTGATTAAAACATATAATTCAAGTGAAGATAGCAGTAGTTTTAAGACTATCTTCTTGAAGCTTTTAGCACCAAATCCACGTTTAGACCAGATACTGGACCTTCTAGCAATTTTGAGCTTGGACAAAATTGCCGTTTTATAAGAAAAATTTAGTGCAAGAATTATGATAAACGGTTTAAGAATACGTTTCATTGATAGATAAATTGAGCCTTTCAGCACTTGTATTTAACAGCCTAAACGTCTATACCTTAACAACGTTACTTCGAAGTCTCGGACACTTCTTTTGCTTTTACATTAGGACGAAAAGGGCGACCAGGTAGACCAGGCAGACCAGGAAAAAGAGGACGACCAGGAAGACCAGGATTAGACGGATTACCCGGTCGCCCAGGAAAGCGTGGCAAACCCGGACGCCCAGGCAGACCAGGTAGACCAGGTAGACCAGGAAGACCCGGTAAGAAGGGACAACCCGGATTTGATGGAGCACCCGGACCAAGAGGACCTAGGGGACCCCGCGGACCACGCGGCAGGCCAGGAAGACCAGGCAAGAAATACTGGTACTCAAAGAAATTACACTAATAACTGGATGTTCCAAATAAACACTGAAAGTTAAATATACGAGACTGTCTTGTGACAAGGAATGTAGTTTGATTCCTTAATTTATTGAATAGTTTGAATGACGTATTTGAAAGCATATCTTTCCATTAAAAGCAATTGAACAAAAGCTGTATTTTCTTCACCTTCTTTACCTTCAATAAATTAACTACAGCCAATTGCTTTTTGCACAACCATTGATTGAATTCAGCAGCAAGTCGAAGATCTTATGGAAAGTAGGTCCTTCTAGCAATTTGAGTCGACCACTGTTAGAATGTCATAACAATGTTGTAACAAGATTGAGATCATTTGCGTACAGGGTTTCTCAGAATAGGAAACGTTATAGGAAAGATGTTTTTGCGGTATAATGAATGAAAATCCCTTTCATTTGTGAGCGTAACTAAACACAATCAAGGAAGCAGCACAATCCCTTCTTATTCGGGTATATGGAGAAATGAGACAAGCGGTTGCTTCAAAAGTTTCTGTTCATGACTAGTTCATGAGAAGTGAATTTAGGTGGAAAGTAAAAATGACTATATACAAAGATTTTATGTAAAATTATTCAAGCTTCCGTAGGTGTATCAAATCATCTGCAAAATGTGTCATTTAGAGTGCCAAAATGTGCCAAATATGCCATCATACAGGTCCTCGTCAGATGAGCTCGTAGCTTTTGCTTGATAAATAGAGACAAATATTTTTCAGGCTGGACGCAGAGTTTAACGAATGTTCTGCAGAGAAATAACATCTTCAGCCCATGTCACATTGACACGGCTCGTGCGAAAGGCTTGTTAAAACAAAAAGATTTGAATATGACAAAAGCCGTTGACTTAATAAGTTCATGTAGTTCGGCGCATAAGAAGATCGATGTTTGAAGCACGCCAAAGATAAACTTCACAGTAATACGATTGATGTGGTGCTCAGCCCCCTTTTTTGTCAAAAATGATCCAATTATCCTTCTTGCCAATATTTTGAAATTTTCTTGCATTAGTGGTCCTCTTTTTATATCAATAAACCTTTCGATGTCAACCCACTAAACAAGTGAAGGTTCACAACAATCAGAAGTCAGAAATGTGTTCAGATTAAACTAGACTACCTTTCAGCTATTTAGGTACAGTCCTTATTTCACTGAACAGAATGAAAAGATAATAAACCTATATTCAGTAGATTCGATCATTTAGCAGTCACTGGCAATTGATACGAAATTCCTCCTTCTAGTTATACTTCTAAAAGAGTGCAGCAACGGCACTGTTGTATGTAGCAATGCAGCAGTAACTGTCGATTTTCTTTATTACAGGTGGTTAAGTTGTAGTAGAAAAAGGCAGTGATAATCTCCTTTTTAACCGATCTAAATTCAACAAAAACGACGAAACCTATTTAACGAAATCCAAATCGGTGTGGAGCATTTTTAATCAATCTTACCTCAAACCATTGCCAAAAGTACTAAGCAATTTGCGTTGTGTTTTTATATTTTTCAATTTATTTTCCGGATACTCCTATTTCCGCACTCTCTTCCCCCCAAAACGATGTTGATAATTTAGAAAAATATCATAAAAGAAGCGCAAAGAAAGTGCTTCCTAAAATCCTAACCCATTTCATAAATAAACAAACATTGTTCCGTGGGAGAGAGGGGGGTGATTGATTTTGACCTTGGAAACTGACGTCAGTGCTCCAAGACTTAAAGGACTTGCGCCACCTAAATTTGCGCCAACTTTTTTCTCTCTTGATACTTGTAGGTGAAAGCTATCTAAACGTGTTTGCAAAATATTGCCACGATCTGGGGTGTATTGTCAAGACCCCCAAAAAGGCTATTTGAATTTTGGCATGAAACGTATCACGTGATACTGTGAAACGTATCACGTGATACTGTGAAACGTATCACGTAATAGAAATTGACAACCTCGGCCTTGAAAGCATTTCAATTGGACCAGTTGCTGAATGGGGAGCATTGTCCCCCCCCCCCCGAAAGGACAAATTATTGGATGATGATAATGGGATGATTGAATCTGGATGTTGATTGGGCGTGCGCAGAGGTGTTTCCAAGATATGGAGGGTCGAAAGAGAAATTTGATATGTCATTGTATAAATCATTTTTGCAAGGAAGACTAAGATAGCAATGTCCGAAGATATGCAATTGCAAGCAAACCCAAGTGTATGCTGAGCCCATAAGACGATAAAAACAAAGCAAACAATAAGAAAATGCTCAAGCAACTTTCCTACCCTAGCCAAATTTCAATAGAAAAAGGATGAAGGACAGAGAGTAGAAAGCTGTTAATAATTCATAAATCAAACAATTTCCTCTATTCTAGGAGTAAGAACCTTCCCACCCAGTATCTTCATTTCCTTTGCTCTAACTTGATCCCGTTTTCCAAACCACTACGTCCATTTCTTTCCTCTGACGAATTTGTTGTTAAATTATTTTATTTGTCGCGTTTTCCCTTTAAACATAGCTCAAACTGTCGCGTTAAACATAGCTCAAACTGTAATACACAACATCCCATAACAATATCCAGTGACAAAATCTATTTCAAAATTATTCATTTTTGCATAATAAATCAACTTTTTGTGAGCGAGTAGCGAAAACCCTATACATTTCAAGTGTAGGCCTGTCTCCGCTTGTCAACTTCTACGTCACGTTGTCACGTGATACTTATGTAAATTAACGTCCACGACCCCCTCCAAATAAAATTTTTGTCGGAAAACTTTGAAATGCTTGATTTTGACCTATTTTCTACCGAATTCGTGAATAAAATGACAGGGTAAAATAGGTGGCATAAATCAAAATGACAGGGTAAAATAAGTGCCATAAGATGGCACAAATTAAGATTGACTCTCATTTTGATCACTTTTATTGAAGCTTCAATAAAGAGGCAGTTCTAAAGCTTGATGATGCATATCATTCAATATTGATAAAAGTGATGAAATACGAAATGTAGATAAGGTACAGTAGAACAGTGGTAACACCAATAATTAGCTTTGCTATTTTAAACAACAACAAGTAATAGCATAGATCGATATCTAAGCAACAAGTAAATGCTAACGGCGAACAATACAACAAATTCATCAGCTATTGCAAAATAAGCACTCGATCTGGCGCTTCACGAGACGGACCATGGCGTACCAGAAACATTGCTTCTCCAATACCCTGATTTTTTCAAAGTTGCCAAACAGTTTATCAATAGCTTTCGCTGCCATTGTCATATCGATGTTTTGTTGTTTTCGTCACTGAACGCTTTGTTTACTTTCAAAACGATGGTCACTGATTGGTTTATCTTTATCCGGGATTTTCTTTTGTATGGAATGTCCGCAAAAAATCAAGCATACAAACAAATCAAATTTACGATTCAGAAGGTTGCATGCGAATTTCAAAAGATCGCATACGATTTGTGAATATAAGTCGGTTGTTAGGTTTTACATGTGATTGCCTTGTCATCTTTTGTGTCAACTTCTGTTTCAAAGGACACCGGGACCCCTGACAAATGACCCCTGACTTTTTTATTTTTCAAAAATACGCATTGAATCATAATACAGAAAATCATTTCAAGCATCTTTCGTAAACATGAACATTGATCTTGAAGAAACTATTTTCCCGCAGTTTTTTGGGACATGAGACTTTACCAGTTAATGAATGCAGACCAAACTTCACGAATGCAAACCAAACACTGTGTAATTAGGTTCCAGTTCCACTAGCCATTTCTCTACAAACGTGATTAGAAAATTTACTCTCTTAATCAATAAAAAAAACCGAAACGCGCCAGCAAATGTTTTTATAAACGCCGACATAACGACAACACCGATCCTAATTAAAACATAAGAACAACAGACAGAGCAGATTGCTAGCAGAGAGTAGACAGGGAACCTTAAAGTGCCGATAACCGTTGTTATATCGTTTTTCCCAAGTGAACACAGATTTGTTTTTATTGAAGTAAAGTCAAAGAAAAATGGGTAGAAATAAAACTTTGTGCAAGATTGATATACTTTGTACAAGCTGGTTACTTTAATTCTCCTTGTATGCAAAAAGCAAAAACTGTCGAATTGTTTTACATGTTTTACATTGTCTTTTGCCTTCTTATTGTCATATTAGAAATCATCGTCTCTGTTTCTTCTTTGTCCTCTACTCCTTTTTCTTCTTCTTCTTCTACTCCTTCTTCTTCCTCTACTTCTTCTTCTTCTTCTTCTTCTTCTTCTTCTACTCCTTCTTCTTCTTCTTCTACTCCTTCTTCTTCCTCTACTTCTTCTTCTTCTTCTTCTTCTTCTTCTTCTACTCCTTCTTCTTCTTCTTCTACTCCTTCTTCTTCCTCTACTTCTTCTTCTTCTTCTTCTTCTTCTTCTTCTACTCCTTCTTCTTCTTCTTCTACTCCTTCTTCTTCCTCTACTTCTTCTTCT